ATCATTCAATAACTTGTCCAGTGACTCTTTCAATAACAAAGGTTGAAGCATGAATTTTTTTCTGCAGTTCCCGCAGCTTGAGAAATGCTGCGCGTGTTCTTCCTTTTTGGTTTTCTGATTCCAGATCTTTGCACATTTTGTTGTAATATTTGGCTTTATATTCTCAAGCTGATCTTTGAAATTTGCTGTTTACCTCTTGTACCTCCTCATTTCTTCCATTTGCTTTAATATCACTACACTGGAGAGCAAGTGTCTCTTCTGACATCCATTTTGACCTTTTCTTACTTTCTTGTGTTCTTTTGCTTTCTTCATGGATAATGTTCTTCATGTCATCCCACAACTCTTCTAGTCTTTGGTCTTTAGTGCTTAATGTAACAAATGTTTTTCAGATGATCTCTAAATTCAGGTGGGATATATTCAAGGTCATATTTTGGCTCTTGTGGACTTGTTTTCATTTTCTTCAGCTTCAGTTCGAATTTGCATATGAGCAATTGATGATCTGTTCCACAGTCTGCTCCTGGCCTTGTTTTCACTGATGATATGGAGCTTTTCCATCTCTTTCCACAGATGTAGTCTATTTGATTTCCATGTATTCCATCTGATGAGGTCCATGTGTATAGTCGTCTCTTATGCTGTCTAAAGCAGGTATTTGAAATGAACAAATGATTGGTTTTGCAGAATTCTATCACGTGTTCTCCAGCATCATTTCTATCACCAAGGCCATATTTTCCAACTATTGACTCTTCCTCTTTGCTCCCAACCTTTGCATTCCAATCACCAGTAATGATCAATACATCTGGATTGCATGTTTGATCTATTTCAGATTGAAGAAGTTGATAAAATTCTTATATTTCATCCTCATTGGCTTTAGTGGTTGGTGTGTAAATTTGAATAATAGTGGTATTAACTGGGCTTCCCTGTTAATGGGAACAGCAGCATTTCAAAATTTATTTCTTAAAAAGCAATACATTGTGAGGGTGAGGGAAGAGAGGAAAGCATACTACAGAAACCACATTGTGTGTCAGCTCTTAGATAACTGTACTTTGCAAATAGATACTACAAAAACTTCTGGTTTGCTAAGCTTGTCCACCACCCATCTTTGGGAAAAGTACACTTACGTTTTATTGGCCACATAGAATGACCCCATCCTGACATATAGTCAGAAGATTTGTCCCACTAAAGTCTGCCAAGAAATGTGGCCCTGGAGTTGGCATGGTCAAATTGTAAGGTAGAAGGTCTGCCCCAACTACAGTACTTTCCACCTAACCAGCTTACCTCATCTCCATTTCTGTCGTATCCAGGAGTTGTAAGGACTGGGTGACAAAAGAATCAGCAATTGTCTGGTTTATAGAAACTTCAGCTTCTAACATCTGCAGATATGTGAAAATAGAAAACATTAGCTAACAATTCATTTTATGACTATGAAACTCATTTTTCCTGTGACCATCTAAGCTCATGGAAGAAAATGAGACATGATTCACTTTAAAATGACTGAAGCCAAACTTCCAAAAATAGTTATCAGCATTAACGATGAATATCATCTTAAAAGTAATACGTATGCCTAATCATAATTTGTTGGTGGTATTGTTAAGTGCTGTCAAATTGGTCTTAACGCATAGTGTACAGCATTTCTGAGGAGTGGCTGGTGGATTTGAACTGCCGACACTGTGGTTGGCAGTCCAGTGCTTATCCTACAGTGCCACAGCAGAAGTCCATAACTATAACAGCAAGTACGATTTACAGCACACTTACTATTTGGTAGCCATTGTGTAAAATATATATCATTTCACTGACTCCTTCACCGTCAGACTTAAGTACTGCTATTATACCATTGGACAGAGGAAGGAACTAAGGTTTAGAGGGGGCTCAGTAACTTATTGGAGGCCACCCACTTTTTGGCAGGGCGGATTTCATTTTCATTGGAGGATCTTGATGTAGCAATCTAGACTTTTCAGTTATATGGAAAAGTTACAGTGAGCTTATCAAGCACATTTTTGAAAAGCAGGAATTGCCGGTGACCGTCAGGATTCCTTCAAAATATACATCAGCACAAGTATGGGGAGAAGCTGGAAAAGTTATTAATGCAGCAATGATTACTATACCATGTGCTCAGAGAACTGGTGAAAATGCAAAGGTGAATGAAAATGTTTTAACATGTTGTTTATAAAATGGTATACATATATATATATATATAAAATGATTGTACAAGCAAAATTATGCCAGAAGTTTCCATTTACTATAGAAAATGTAGGCGTGTTGTCAATAAAATAGAACAAAGTGGTGTGATTTATGACCTATGGGAGAATTTTACAAATAATCAATTGATAAATGAATTTGCTTCAAGACACACTTGAACATTCTGTATTTAGGGACTGAGAGCTAGTATTTGGAGTCCTGGTATGGCGCTGTGGGTTAATGTGCTAGACTGCAAAGCCATTTGAACTGCAAGGTCGGTGGTTCAAGCTCACCAGCCACTCCTCCGAAACCCTATACAGGGTCACTATGAGTCGGACCGGACTCGATGGCACTTAACAACAAGTATCCTGGTGTGGCACTGCAGGTTAATGCAGTGGACTACAAAATTGGTTTGAACCTCAAAGTCGGTGGTTAAAGCTCATCAGCCACTCCTTGGAAACCCTACACAGGGTAGCTATGCTTCTGAACCTGACTCGATGGCATCAAACAACAACAGGTGTTCTTTGTATTTTAAATTGATCTTTCTCTAACTCCTGTCCCTAAGGGAGGGGGGCACAAGGGTGGGCGGGAACAGAGGTTTACCTCATATGATTTCTGCTGTTCCAGGAGAGCTGGAAGATTGTTGGCAATGTTGACTTTCAGCTTCTCTTCTATCTTCTCCAGAAGCTGGGCCCATTTTTCATAGCAATGCAGAAAGTTTTCATTCAATCCAATTCCCTGAAGCTCACTGCAAAGGTTTAAACATGAAAGAGAGCCAAGTAACAAAGGCAACGCCAAGTTAAAGCTAATCATTTTACCTTAAATGAAAGAGAGTGATTAAGGGGGAGGAGTGTGTTCCAACCTGCAGCGTTCCAGTGCTGTTGCTGTGACCCGGATCCACTGCCGGTTCACACTTTGTAATGTCTTCACAGCTATGTCACTAAGCGGCAGCCTGAGGCTGACTTCATTCAAACGTTCAATATCAGGTGACTGGACTGTCAGCGCCAGCACATGAGTCTATTAAAAATAATAATAATAATAAATTAAATTAAATTCCATATTTTTGGATGCCAGTAAGATATCCAGAGGATGAAAAGCCAGAGAGATCCTGTCATGCACCCCTTGTTCTCAAAGATGAGAGGCAACTCAGGCCTAAAGAGACTGACCAATGCTTTGTTTGTGGGCAAGTAGATCATCAGTGGCAGGGCTGGACCTAAGCTTTACACATAGCTAGCACCTAAACAGCCCAGGAAATAAAGTGACCTCAGAGTTTGTCTCTGAAAAAGATGAAGAATTTACTTTTTCTTTTTTTAAAGAATGATGAGCAATTCTAGACCTTTAAATGCCATTTGCTCTGCCCGCAACATGGCCTTTAACTAGTCAAGTGACTTACTTACAAATCAAATGAAAATTTAATCCTTAAAGTAACCTCAGCAAAGTATGGGACTTATCCATAGTTCATTAGAAAATGAAATAAGAAAGCAAACTCATCAAAAAATTATTTTCAAGAAGATAGTCTAAGGGTAGTTTCTAGGTCAACACAATATTAAGCAAACATCCTTCACAATGTTCATGTTATCACTATAAAACTCTGCTATAATGTGTCCAGGTCAGCATCAGCACACTCGTTCTATAAAGGGCCAGCTGCATGTTTTAGGCTTTGTGGGCCATGTGACCTGTTGCAATATCTAACTCTAGTCCTTACCTTAGATCAGGAAGGTTTCTGAAGACAGTTAAGTAAATGAATGGCTATGTTCCAATAAAATTTTATTCACAAAAGCAGGTGGCAGCCTGGATTTGGACAGTTTACTGACTCTTGATCTAGATTATGAATATTGATCATTAGTAGTGGCAAGACGCAGAAATCTTTAATTCTTCAATTTATGTTAACTATAGGTAGCGTAGTGGTTACGAATCGGGCTGCAAACCTTAAGGTCAGCGGTTCGAAACTACCAGCCGCTCCGCGGGAGAAAGATGAGGCTTTCTACTCCCGTAAAGATTTACACCCTCGGAAACCCTGTACAGGGTCGCTAAGGGTCGGAACCGACTTGACGGCACTTAACAACAACAACAAATACTAAATTTGGTAGCGTAGTGGTTACGAATCGGGCTGTGAACCGCAAGGTCAGTAGTTCAAAACTACCAGCGGTTCCGTGGGAGAAAGAGGAGGCGTTCTGCTCCCGTAAAGATTTACAGCCTTGGAAACCCTGTCGCTCTGAGTCGGAACTGACTCCATGGCACACAACAACAACAACATACTAAATTTATTAAGGAGCTCTGGTAGCTTAGTGGTTATGAGTTGGGCTGCTAACCTCAAGGTCAGCAGTTTAAAACTATCAGCTGTTCCATAGAACAATGAGGCTTTCTGCTCCCATAAAGATGTGCAGTCTCGGAAACCCTATGAGGGTCACTAAGAGTCAGAACCGACTCCACTGCACATCACTACCATACTAAATTTATTAAGGTAATAAAGAAGTGGCACTGTAGGATAAGTACTAGAATGCTAATCACAAGGTCGGTGGTTCAAACCCACCAGATACTCCTTGGAAATTCTATACAGGGTCACTAGCCATGGGAAACAACTTGATGACACCTAATGACACATTTTACTTTTTGAGCCTCGAGGTGTGGTGAGTTACTTGGGCTGTTAACCACAGTCACTCCATGGTAGCAAAGATAAGGCTTTCTGCGTGTGTAGAGATTTACAGCCTATAAACCCTACCCAGGGTCTCTATGAGTAAAAATCAACTCAATGACACACAGCATGTTGTCATATTTTTCTAATCCATGGGACAAATAATGGAGGAATGAATGCATATAAATGACTACGCTCAAAAATCAGTTAGCCTTTCAGGTCTGGAATAGAATGCAGCCTTATGTTCCAATTTTCAGCCAAGCAGTAGATACGGGTACAGGTGAGACAACACTAGCAAGGTATGCTCACCATGGAAATGGTCAATAATTCAAGATCAAAAGAGCAACAGTTACTAAAGAATGAAGTTCAGAAGGATTGAGGAAGGTGGAATGCTAAAAGGAACGACAGGGAGGAAGGGGGATAAACTACTGATGCATGGAGGGGTTTGCAACACTGAGATGAAACAATGTCTGATTTGTTGACTGTAAAACTGATGAGCTTCTCTGTAAACCTTCATTCAATTCACAATAAAAAGTTTTTAAAAAGTTAGGGTTCAAATGAATTCTAAAATGGGATAGTAATTAGCTTTTTTTCTTTCTGCCTTATCTGATGGTGATTCTAAGACTTTAGGTAAGAGAAAAACTGGTAGTACCAGAATCGACTCCGGATCTTCTTCTTTTTCTTTCTGATAGAGCTTTTCCAAATTCTCTTCTTCATGCATAATAAGACCCTTTAGAGACTCCAAGCGGTTCTCAAAATCCTTAAACTGTGAAAGAACAAACTGGAACAAGAGAAATTTTCTTTAGGAATAATTTTCATGTGCATATAATGCAGAATTAAGCACAGTCTAGTCTTGGGAGTCCATGAAACTTCAAACTGTTTCCAACTCCTAACATATCATTATCTTCTTGAATATTCAGAAGTGAATATTCAGAAAGTTCTGGTGTTCACTTTGTGCCTTGGGCAAAGCACCTAGCCTGTCTGGGATGAATGGATCACTTGAGGGGGTCAAGCAGAGAAATGTTAGTAACTATGCTGCCCTCAGCCCCTGTTGGTGTTAAGACTTAATACTGGAGCTCCATAGCCTTCTATGTAGCTTTCTGAAGCTTTCAGCGACTAAGGACTTTTCCAAAAAGTGAATAAACAACCCAAGTTGTACATGGCTATGTTTGAAGTTCTATGGCTTAATCAGCCCACCTGGAGAGCCAAATAACTGAGATCTGTACAAAGCCTGAAAGAGAGTGTATCACTTCTTAAATTAACATGTTCCATAAAGAAGGAAGAGTTGCTGAAGATCTCTGCAGGTGATGGAACCTAGAACCATATGTCAAATGGTAAACACATTCAGGGGCAGCTGTGCTAGTTTTCCTATGGGAGCAGTCTACAGAGCACAAGTGAATAACTTCACAGAATCAAAGGGACTGAGGGCACTACAAAAATGTTCCAAACTTCCATTGTAAGGAAAAATAATAAGACGAACCTCAAATTCATTTGCTTTCACGTGTAGCATCTGTTCCAAATAAGCAGCCCTCTGAAGGGAGTGAGACTGACCAGAGAGGAGTGCAAGGGGGCTGGACTCTGCAGAGGATTTTGGGAGTCGCTCCAGGAGACTGGTGTTTTGGAGAAAGGCTTCTTTTGTGTCCTGTACATCATGCTGCAGCTCCTGGAGAGGAAAAAGTCATCACAAAACACTCTTCTCCTTCACTGTACAAGTCCCCAACCCCTGCTGCACCAGCAACATCTAAGAGAAATTTTGCCCTGAAACTGTGGTTATGACTTTTTTGTTGTTTTGTTCATTTAAAAGTACTGAAAACTGACATTTTCTTTATGTGATGTACAACTCTAGTGCTATGTTCTAAAATCTGTCAGTTCAAAGCTAAAACTCACCAGTGGCCAATAGGGCTGAGGGCTCGTTTATAATTACAGTCACGTGTTTTAAATTTCTATTCATCGAACGCTTGAGGGTTCTGCTTTAATATCATTTCAAGACTCAATGTGCAACTGTCCTGTCTGAGACTGTCTGCTATAAAGGGATCCATTTGAGACACTGTTGTTATTGCTACTTTTAAGTGCTATCAAGTCAGTTCTGACCCATAATAGTCCCATCTAGGGTTTCTGAGGAACAGCTGGTAGATTTGCACTGCTGATGCTGTGGTTCAAACTAACCTTACAGTCCAGACCATTACCCTGCAACACCACAGAACCTCTAATCAAGCTGATTTCACAGCTCTTCTGGCAATATGGTATGCATGAGTTTTCTGCTGAGGTGTTGATGAGGTTGACTAAAATCTCCACTGGATTCTTATTTTTCTAATTAAACTAGTTAATATTTTTTAATTTGGCCTACAGTATCAGAAGATACAAGCACATCAAGTTACTGAATTAAAAATGACACGGATTTACTTTCCGGGCCTTCATTAACAATTGTTTGTTGTTTTTGTTTTGTTCATAGGGACCCTGTATAGGCAGGGTTTCCAAGGAACAGCTGGTAGGTTTGAACCACCAATCTTGTGGTTAGCAGTTCAGTGCTTGCCCTACAGCACCACACCAGGATTACATTTACAACAGGAAAGAAAGAAAATCCACACACACATGGAGAAAATGATACAATTTTAAAATCACTGTTGCCTGTTGAAAAACCACATTAACATGGACAAAATTAAGATTATTTCTAATGTCAGGGATTTAACATCCATCATCTTTAGGTAGGAATCTTGATGTGGCACTACAGGATAAGCATGCTGACTCAAGGTCGGCAGTTCAAATCCACCTACACAGGGTCGCTATGAATCAGAACTGACTGGACAGCATTTAACAATAACAACAGATGATATCAAAAGGCACCTTTGTGGCACTGTGGGATAAGCACTGGACTATTAACCACAAGGCTGGTGGTTCAAACCCACCAGTCGCTCCTTGGAAACCCTATACACAGGGTTGGTTATGAGTCGTAACAGACTTGTCAGCACTAACAATGACAACATCCTTAGGTGATCACACTCAGTTGAGAAACTGACTCAGGAGACTGAAGAACAAGATGAAAGGGTAGATGGGAATGAGGTGGTGTCAGGTTCCCCTGACTCAGCTATGTGCTGTGCTGTGCTGTGCTGTGGAAACTCTCCTCTGAGGTGCCAACTGGTTCTCTCAACCTCACACACACGTCATGATTTTGTCCTAGTGGTTTTGCTCATGGCACCTGTCCTGAATGACTTCTCTATCCCTGTAGTCATAGCCACCCTTCACTGGTCCAGTCTGTTTGGCTGAGTTGGCCTCGGTTATCCTGATGAGCTCTGCACCCACCTTTATGTCTTGCAGGGCTGGTGTGAGGATTTCCGCCAGGTTGTTTCCAGACATGTTGATGCTTGTGAGCTGCTGATACTTGGCTTCCTGCTGCTCCAACCTAGCTGTGGCTTCAGCATGAGCACTGCTGTATGCCGTCCAGAGCTGCAGCTGACTTTGGGCCCTCTGTAACTGGTCTGCAATGGCTTGGTTTACTTGGGTCCATCTGTCAGTGCAAACGAACAACAGGACCCTCATTCCATCCTCTCCTTGCAGCCAAAGTACAATGCACATGCTTTGCTAATAGCGTCTTAGCAGATGAACATCACATCCTCCACTTACAATAATGGCATCGCCATCAGATATAATTTAGTCCACATTGTTGTTATTGTTGCTGTTAGATACCATCGAGCAGGCACCGAACCACAGCGACCTTATGCACAGTAGAACAAAACACAGCCCGATCCTGGACCAACCTCACTATCGTTGCCACCCTTGAGTTCAATGATGTTGCCACTTGGTCAATCCATCTTGCTGGTCATCTTCCTCTTTTTCTCTGACCCTCCACCTTTCTAATACGCAACTAAAACTACAAATTTGTGAACAGCAACAGGTATCTTTGTATTATGAGTGCAAAGGTGAGGACGGCACTGAATTGTACACCCCAGGAAAGCCTCTGCACACGAGAAAGGCTCCCATTATACAAAGGGTGTCTTTAAAGAAACAAGTTCCCAGCAAGTTGATCCCAGCTCATGGTGAACCCATGTGTGTCAGAATGGAACTGCGCTCCATAGGTGTTCAATGCCTGATTTTTTAGAACTAGATCAAGAGAACTTTCTTCAGAGATGCCACTGTATGGACTCGGCCCTCCACTTTTCAGTCAGCATCTGGGTGTGTTAACCAGTCCTATTAATGTCCAATAAAATGGATTTTCTAATTATAAAAGCAATATTTTCCTTATGTAAAAATAGAAAGAAAACTGATTTTATATACAGATTATATAATATCTTGCCTTTTCCCCCATTTATGTTTTTATTCCACAAACTTTTTGAAGCCCCCTCACATATCTTTGTGCAAAAAATTATGAGTATATTTTAAGAATTTAGTCTTCAATTTCTGAATTTAGTCTGAATTACCAGATCTAAGAATAAAACAGTTAAATATTTTTAAGGCTATTGATATACATTATCAAATTACTTTTTCAAAGCATTTTAATGTTTACATTCCTATATGAAGCACAGGAAAATGCTGGTTTTACAATATTCTCAAGCTTGCTACATGGTGAAAAAATAAAAGTGGTATGACTGTTTACTTTTACAAGTATTTTTTAAAATGTTATCAGCACTAGCTTTTTTCTTTCTTTCTTTTTTAAGTTTTCAGTGTGTATTGAGTGATGATTTACATGGGACACCATCAGCTTTACATTCATCCTATCGTATTTCATTTCATTGCAATGATTACAATCCCCTCTGTGCATCATCATTAACCAGCATTTGCTTCAATTCCCTCTTTTTTTGGGTGGGGGGATGTACACAGAAGCACTCAGGAATATATAACCATTCAAACAACCTAAGGGCATAACCTGCAAGCTGCTCCCTGGCTGCCAGCACACAGTCCCTCTCCCTCCATGAGTCTAGAGTCCCCAGCTGCTCCATCTCTCCATGCAGCACTAGCATTTTATAAGAGTTTTCCTAATTATAAAAACAATATATGCTTACTGTAAATAAAACAGAAAGAAAACTATAGAAAATAAGTATGTTTGCAGTTCAAGCTTACCAGCTGTTCCTCAGAAACCCTATCAGGGTTGCTATGGGTCGGAACCGACTTGATGACACTTCACAACAACAACACACATAGCAAAATCCTCAAAACAGACCAGGTTTACTAGTAGAACCCCGGTATTTCAATGGCTCTTACTCTTCAGATCTATAACTGAATCCACCCGCATGGCTCAATTTTCACACCACCACAGAGGGACACACATCGTAGGATAACCAACCATTTGAGACCAAAAGGGCAGCCTTTACCCCAGGACAAAGGTCAGAAGGGTTAGGAAAGGAGGAATGGAAACAAGAAACCCAGAGAAGAAGTGGAATATGGATATGTGAGGTTGCAATCAATGAACAAAACAAAACATGCATAAATTGTTGAATGTACAAGCGATGAGCAGTTCCGTAAAGCTTCACCCATTTCACAATCAAAAGTAAGAAACAAAACACCAGTTATCTCTTCATCTAGAAATAACATTTGTTAGCATGTTAGTGCTAATTTTTCAGTCTTTTAGCAACAATTGATGTATAACAATTATGCCAACAATTGATGTATAAGTGCAGTGAGTGTAAAACCTAGTTGCTTTAATAACAAACTGCACCCCAGTGGTTTTGAGGGCAGTCCCCAATACTCTAGGTGGAATCAGATACATTTCAAAGGTCTTCTTTACCTACCTCCTTCCATTCAGGAATGGTTCATGATCTAAAGGCATGACCTTAGGATATAGATTTTGATATCTCCTTAAATAATAGTTCAATGTTGACTTATAGGAGAGGTTGAGTCTATATGGAGGGAGGGTTAGGGTGGGGTACTGAAGGTAGTTTAACCTCTTTGTCACTTATCTGGAACAAATCAATAGCCTAGTAGCACAGTGGGCTATGTGCTGGGCTGTTAACCACAAAGCTGTCAGTTTGAGTCCATCAACTCCGTGGGAGAAAGATGAAGTTTTTCTGCTCCTGTAAAGATTTATAGCCTCAGAAGCCCTATATAGAGTCACTATGAATTAGAAAGCACACTATGGCACATAGCCAGTCAGCCAGCAAGCAGAACAAATCAGCTCTAGCCCCAACTTTCATAACTCTTTCAGCAAAATCAAAGTTTTACTACCCTTCTTAGAAGAAATTTTCCTTTTCTACCAGAAGCAGTTCAAGGAATTCCTTTCCTACCACACACATCACTTTCCTGAGATGTATTCTAACATCCTCTTTTTTCCATCTTATAGTGTTACCAGTGATGTTTGAGTGCTCCCTATGCATTTGCCTATGTGGAATCACGCCTTATAGTGTCACTGCCCCCAATTTTGGTGTCCCTGAAGATGACACTGGGCAATTTGTCTATGTCCTATAAAAGTGTCTACACTAGGACTACAATTAGGGTATTTCTAGATTGATTAGACCAAATATTTAACAAAGGCGGAAATAACAATCTCAACCTTGAATCTCACATGTACTAGTACCTTCAAAGCAAAAGAAACGAGAACAGTTTCACTGGAACCCTGGTGGCACAGTGTGTTAAGTGTTGGGTTGTTAATCAAAAGGTCTGCAGTTTGAATCCCCCACCTCCATCCTCCAGTGGAAGAAAGATTAGGTAATCTGCTTCTACAAAGATTTACAGCCTCAGAAACCCTATAAGGCAGTTATCTGTTCTATAGGGTCACTGCGAAGCACGGTGACGCTGAAGGATAAGTGCTGGACTGCTAACCCGGTCAACTCTTCAAGCACACCGGCTGCTCCGAGGAAGAAAGATGAGGCTTTCTGGTCTTGTAAACATTCACAACCTTGGAAACCCTCTATGAGTCAGAACCAAGTAAATAGCATTTAACAACATAGGGTTGCTGTGCGTTGGAATCAATTGGAAGGCAGTGAGTAGGTAGTCATCTGACTACAAAGAGTTTACAAAGCCCGCTGTTGTGTACTTTCTAGTTGGTTCTGACTCAAACCTGTATTGGATTTCCGAGAGTAGTTGGTGGGTTTGAACTGCCAACCATGCGGTTACTAGTCTAGTGCTTATCCTACAGCACCACCCCAGGACTCTTACAAAATCGAAGTCACTTCATTTACCACATGTCAATGTTGTTGTTAAGTGCTGTCGAGCCGGTTGTGACCCTGTATAGGGTTTCCGAGGAGCAGCTGGTGAGCTTGAACTGCCTACCTTGCAGTTCAAACCGACCCTGCAGTCTGGCGCATTAACCCACAGCGCCACACTAGGACTTCCCACATGTCAATAAGACTCGATTATTCCAGCTGGTAAAGTGCTTTGACTCTGACTATATATGGTTAAGCACTTGGCTACTAACCAGAAAAAAAGACCTAATGACGTACAACTGTAAAGATCAGAGATTGTACAACAATTACAACCAAGGAAATCTTCTGGGACAGTTCCACTCTGCTCTGTGGGGTCACTGCCAGTTGGATTTCCCTTGATGACACACATCCACCACCATTCTTACTGTACCTTGTCTGAGTATTTTGGCATTTCTCTTCAATTATTTCAGCAACAGAGGGGCAGTAAGTTTTGAGTCTACCAATAACATCCCAGAGTTTCTCCCAACTTCCTTCACTGCTCTCAGCTTCATCTTGAAGAGTCTAAAAGAACACAGTAGGGATGTTAGTTTCAATATGATCTGGCTACTTCCAAAGAAGGCAGCTACTCAGTACTTTGGAGTTCTGATGTGGCGCTGCGGGTTAACGCACTGGTCCACAAAGTTCATTTGAACCGCAAGGTCAGCGGTTCAAGCTCACCAGCCACTCCTCGGAAACTCTATACAGGGTCTCTATGAGTTGGAACTGACTTGATGGTGGTATTGAACAACAACAATGAGTCGGAACCAACTTGACTGCCCTTAACAACAACTCAATACTTGTTTCTACAAAACAGTAACAATAGTAATATAATGCTCAAACCTTAACAGAAGAGTGATTAACTCTAAGGACTGTGAAGAAGACAACAAATAAGATGGTGTCTTCGAGAAGAAATCATATAAATGACATACTAAAACAACCCCCTCCAAAACAGAACTACCACCAAAAAAAAAAACACTTTTAAATTGTAAAATGATGTAACCATGAAAAGTGATGAAAGATTTTATATAAATTGCATTTTATGCAAACAAATGCACACGCTATATGGTTTCCAAAATTGTAAAAACCCCTCAGAGTTTGCTATGTGCACCATGGGCATGTTATATGTGAAAATATAGTTGTTTTACAAAGTTTCACTCATTTAGCTCATGTGATTCATTCAGCTTAGTTTTGAATTTCAGGATTTTTTGAGGCTGCTGTTTAAAAATGCTTTTTTGGTGCTTCCCTGCAGAGAACACAGAAGCAAATGTGTCCGTTCCTGCAATGGCACCCATTCTGAATTGTCTGCCAATAATTCACTGTGCCAAGCTCTGCTTAATTTACCTGAAGGTTCTGCACCTGGTACGTCAAGGCCTCCAATGACAAAGCTTCAGGCTTGCTGTGCTCCATGAGGTAGCAGAACCGGATTGTCATCATGTCTACTTCATCACAGAGTTTAGCATAAACCTTCCACTCCTGTAGAGCTGATTGCATGGAGGCTTTGAGCTGACTGACCTATAGGAAAAGCAGAAACACCGGGAGAAAATCAGGGTGAAGACATGGACTCTCAAGTGTGGTTTTTCTTTTTTTTTTCCTTCCAGTGCTTCTAATATTGCATCCAATTTAGGCATTTAATATAAGAACGCTGGAAGATCTTCAGTACTTAACTGGAGTTGGGAAGAGCAGGCCAATGAGCAAAGACATACCTAAGAAGTTTCAATATAAATGAAGGAGAAAGAGCCCTAAGATGGAAATGATCAGCAATGAGAGAGATTTCTAGGATGCAGCCTAGAGAAAGTCCAGCAAATGAACAGAGGTTGTGAGTGCACATTTCACTTATAATCTACTAACTTTCTGACCTTGAGCTATTAATTTCACCCATCTGTTTCCTCATCCATAATATGAAAACAATAACTGAAATAATAAAGATTGTTGTTGCTAAGTGCCGTCGAGTCAGTTCGGATTCATAGCGACCCTGTATAGGGTTTCCAAGCAGGAAACCAAGGTGGGTTTGAACTGCCAACCTTGTGGTTCCCAGTCCAGTGCTGATCCTATAGCACCATACCTGGAGACCAATCAATAAGATGGTGGTGGTGGTAGTTATGTGCTATGGAGTCGGGTCCAATTCAGACCAACCCTATATAAGGTTTCCAAGGCTGTGAATCTTTACAGGAGGAGAAAGCCTCATCTTTCTCCCACAGGGTGGCCGGTGGTTTCCAACTGCTGACCTTGAGGTTAGCAGCTGACTCATAACCACTATGCTACCCATGCTCCTTATAAATAAGATTGTGTCTGTGAAATTGCTCTAAAGGCTATAAAGCATTATAAACTATATTTTTCATACTACTGAGCACTTAAGTCTGATTACTACTGCAAAGCAAGTACCACTGGGCAATGAACACGTGCTGCCAAAATGATGTGCAGCGTTAAGTAGGTGGGCATGCTTTATTCATCAGTATGCTTTCATAGGAGTCTTGGTGTGGTGTTGTAGGATAAGCACTGGACTGCTAACTACAAGGTCGGAGGTTCAAACCCACCAGCTGCTCCTTGGAAACCCTATATACAGGATCTCTGTGAGTTGGAACTGACTCAGTGGCATTTAACAAAAACAACAATTTGCTTTCATAATCATGAAAAGAGTTGAAGCATTTTGTTATCTATTTTAAATGATGTTTGATATCATCCAGATACATAAATAACTCTTAAAACTAAAAAAAAAAAAAAAGGGCCAACAATTCAATTTAAAAACAGGCAAAGGCCTTGAGTAGACTTTTCTCCAAAAAAAGATAAATGGCCAACGAACCCATTTGTCATGAAGAGAATGCATTAGTCATTGATGCTGAGTGCTGTTGAGTTCTAACTCACAGAAAGTCTCTATAGGGTTTCTGAGGAGTAGCTGGTGGGTTTGAACTGCTGACCTTGGAGTTAGCAGTCCAGTGCTTATCCTATGACACCACACCAGGGCTCTGCATGAGTTGTTCTTGTTGTTAAATGCCACTGGGTCAGTACCAACACAGCAATCCTATATAGGGTTTCTAAGGAGAAGAAGCTGGTGGGTTTGAACTGCCAACCTTGTGGTTCTCAGACCAGTACTGACCCTACAGCACCACACCAGCATATCAAAACCCAAATGCGGTATAATTTCACACCAATAAAGCCCCCAAAGCCCACTGCTGTAGAGTCCATCGGACTCATAATGACCCTGTAAGACAGAGCAGAAGTGTTCAGGGTTTCTGAGGCTGGAAACCTTTCTGGGAACAGACAGCCTCATCTTTCTTTCATAAACTGACTGGTTGATTGGGCTACCAACGATACCCAATAAGCTGTCTAAAGTCAAAAAGACAAATAATAATGTGTTGGTGAGGATGTGGAAAAATATCCCTCTTGGTAAATGCAAAATGGCATAGACACAGTACAAACTCTCACGAATTTATCATATGATGTAGATATATCTCCATAAAAAAATGAAGACATACTTCCATAGCAAAAAGTTATAGGAGCCTTATTCATAACAGCCAAAAATTAGAAACAACCCAAATGTCCATGAATGGGTGAACAGATAAACAAAATGTATTATATATCCACATGGTAGATTATCATTCAGCCATAAATGTGTGCTATGTGAAATGAAAGAAGTCAGTCACCAAAGGCCACACAGTAGTGACTCCATTTATATGAAATATCCAGGATAAGCTAATCCATAGAGAAAGTAGACTGGTGGTTGCCAAAGGCTAGGGGAAGTAGAGGAATGGGGAGTGACTGCCAATGGGTATGGGGTTTCTTTACAGGGCGATAAAATATTCTGGAATTAAATAGTGGTGATGGCTTCACAACTTGGTGAATATACTAAAAACCACTGAATTGTACACTCTAAAAGGGTGAATTACAGCTCAATTTTAAGAGAGCTGAGTAGAATGGAGTACAACCATTATGTTGGTCCTATTGAACATCACAAGTGTAGTGTGATGTCACAATTTTGGATGTAGTCATATAGTCTTGCATTCAGCTTCTCTCTTACCAATTAAAGGAGCCCTACTGGTACCATGGGTTATATACTGAGGTCAGCAGCTCAAATTCACCAGCTGCTCTTCCAGAGAAAGATGAGGTTTTCTGCTTCCATAAAGAGTTACAGCTTCGGAAAGGCTATACAGGGTCGCTGTGGGTCAGAACCAACTCGATGGCACATAACCACCACCACTACCCCATTCCCCTCCCATCTGAGCCCCTAGAAATTACTAATTTACTTCCAATCTCTATAATTTGCCAATTGTTGGCATTTCACATAAATGAATCAAATAACACATCACATTTTAAGAGTTCTTCAGAGAGGTTAGGCTATAAATTCCTTATCAGATCTATAATTTGTAATGACTTTCTTCTATTTTTGTGGGTTGTCATTTTACTTTTTTAATGGTGCCATTTGAAAGATAAATGTGTTTAATTTTGATGAGATATAACTTTAAACAAACATGAACACACGGCTTTCCAGCTTGCTGGTGATACTGGAATTGGTAGCTTCACTTCTAATTATCTAGAGGACAAAACAGGACTTGAAATATCCCTGTTTCAGCTTAGTATTTTTAGGGTAATTTTTCCGTTTTGAGTGGAAGGAGGGTCTCTGAATGAAAACAACACTGCTACTAACAACAACAACAGCAACAAAAATATAGTAAGGCTAAATACGAGAATAGTACACTTCAAATGCATTCTACTACCTGATGGAGAACGTTGCTTCTCTTTTGAAACAAGCCATCAATTGTGGATGCTGTATCCTCTAGTATTGGCATTGTGCTACTCTCCAAAGTCAGGGAACTTTGTCTCAGCTCATCCAGGGCTTTGGATTTAATTGCAAGTTGATTTTCTATATCCTGGAAGTGCAAGAGTAAAAGGTTTTCATATGCATAAAATGGTGACACAGCTTATGTATAAGAGAAAAGGAGTTTTCCCTTTTCCAGTAAAAATGGCACTCGGGTATATACTTAAACAGCATTACATCAGACACTTTAATCATGACATACTCTTAATGCTATTTTAAATTACATGGCTATAGATTTTAGGAGTGTTTAGGAAAAAATAAAAAATCCTTGTCATATTCAGACCACAGAATACCTGGACCCCATCCTGTACTGACAGCTTGACTACAAACATCATCTAAACCCTGAGTTTCTATTTTCTCTTTTGGGAAATGGTGATGACACCAGCCTGTGCATAGCTTAGAACTCAAATAAAACAACCAATAGGAAAGTGCTTTCCAAGTAATTTGAAAACAAAAGCAAAAACTGGTTGTTGAATGAACTCCGTCTTATGGCAACCCCATGTTTTTTGGAGCAGAATGTGCTCCATAACATTTTCAATAGTTGGTTTTTTTGGACTGCAGATAACCAGGCCTTTCTAGTAGATTACTAGGTTCTCTGGGGGGGGAGGGGGGGGGCGACTTGAACCTCTAACCTTTCAGTTAGAAGACCAGTACATCCATCCTTTACACCACTCAGGAACTCTGAAGTACTATGAGCAGGTTGTTCTCTCAGTAATAACACAAAATGCTTTACTATCCCCCCACCACCCATCTGAATCTATTAGTTCCCTTATAAAAGACACCTCAATCAGTAGTCCTCTTCTTAGAAGGAGAAACTGGAGCCAGCAGTTTGAAAACAGAGGAGCTGGCTCAAAGCAACATCACTACTCTGTAGAGAGAGAGGAGGCAAAAATCACAGCTCCCATTCTCCAGAGTGTGATTGAAATTCATTTTGGAAAAAAGTTTAAACATTTTTTAATATTAAGAAAATAAGGAGCTCTGGTAGCGTAGTGGTTACAAATCGGACTGTGAACCTTAAGGTCAGCAGTTCAAAACTACCAGCCGCTCCACAGGAGAGAGATGAGGCTTTCTGCTCCCGTAAAGATTTACAGCCTCAGAAAACCTGTACAGGGTTACTATGGGTCGGAACCGACTCCATGGCCCTTAACAACAACAACAACAACATAAAGTCATTAACAGAAATTTTTTTGGCATTTAGGTAAGATAAATTTCCAACTCTACAAATTTGGCAAGTATTTGTCTAAGTTTTCTTCCGTATTATAGTTCCATTCAGATAAGCGTGTTTTGAATGCAGAGCCTCAAATTAGTGGCCCTTCCCTGCTCAATTTTCTTGCTTTCTTAAAAGTTGGTTTTCCACCAAAAATGCCGTTTTTTTCCCTCTCTCTCTCTTTTAAATCCTCCCAAGAATCACTATGAGAACCTGACAGATACTCAGTTGCTAGGCAGGTTTAAGCCCAGGTGAAGGAATAGCTCCCTCAAGTAGCCTCACAGAGTGGTAATGCAATTCAGCTCTAGCAAAATTAACAAGTTACTGCATGCTGGGAGCCTCAGGTGATTCTTCAAGTCAGAAAACCAGGGAGAAGACTACTCAGTAGAGACCAAAGCAAACATATGCTAAAATTGTAGCACAAACACTAGCTGTGGCTATAACAGCACATGAATACTCTTATAATCTTACACAAGGAAGCTTACAATGAATACTCTTACAATCTTACACAGGAAGCTGTTTGGGGGCAAAGCAGAGAATGAATTAGAATGAACAAAAAGGGGACAGGGAAGCTGGCAGAAAGGTCTGAATTAAACCAGTTGACAGGATTGACTGACTAGAAACAAAACTCCATAACAAAGAAAACTCACTGCAGCAGTGCATTCTGACTCATAGTGACCCCATAAAAGGTTTCTGAGACAGGCAACTTTCTACAGGAGCAGACAGCCTCATCTTTCTCAGACAGCTGGTGGGTTTGAACTGCTGACCTTGTGGTTAGCAGTACCATCAGGGATCCTTACTGACAGGATATCTCAATTTACTCCTAATTAACTTGTCAGTTTGTCATACTGTGCTGGCTTGTGGGTTGCTGTAATGCTAGAAGTGATGCCCCTGGTATTTAAAATACCAGCAGGGTCACCCATGGTGGAAGGTGTCAGCAGAGATTCCAGATGAGACAAAGAAAAAGAGGTGGACAACTTCTGTATGGTTAGTCCCTGAAAGTCTTGAGAATAGCAGGTAGAATATGAACCCCTCAGGTAAGATGGAAAGTACAAGTATGAATCTAGGAAAATTGGAAGTTGTCACAAATGGAAATGGAACACATAAAGATTGCTGTATTAGGCATTAGTGAATTGAAATGGGCTGATATTGGTTATTTTGAATCTGATAATTCAATAGTATATATATGTCGGGAACAACAAATTGAAGAAACATGGTGTCACATTGAAAAGAGCACATCAAAAAGAGCATCACAAGATCTATCTTGAAGTACAATACTATCTGCATATACTTACAAGAAAGACCAGTTGACACCACTATTATCCAAATTTACACACCAACCACTAAAGCCACTGATGATAAAAGTAAAGAATTCTACCAACTACTTCAGACTGAAATTGATAGAACATGCAGTTAAGATGCATTGATAATTACTGGTAATTAGAATGCAAAGGTTGGAAACAAAATGGAAGGATCAATAATTGGAAAATATGGCTTTGGTGATAGAAACAATATTGTTTCACATTATAAAATTTTGCAGGACCAACGACTTTTTCATTGTCAATCCTTTTTTTTCAACAATATAAATACATGTGGACCTTACCAGATGAATATACTATACGGGAATCAAACTGACTACATCTGTGGGAAGACACGATGGAGAAGCACAACATCATCAGCCAAAACCAGGCCAGGGGCAGACAATGAACAGACCATCAATTGGTCATATGCAAGTTTAGGCTGAAGCTGAAGAAAATTAAAACAAGTCCAGGAGAGCTGAAATATGACCTTGCGTATCCTACCTGAATTTAGAGATCATCTCAAAACCAGATTTGATGCATTAGACACTAAAGACTAAAGACCAGAAGTGCTATGGGACAACATAAAAAACATACAGGATGATAGCAAAAGGTCATTAAAAAGACAGGAAAGAAAGAAAAGACCAAGATGGATGTCAGAAGAGACTCTGAAGTTTGCTCTCCAGCATAAAGATGCTAAAGCCAATGGACAAAATTAGGAAGTCAAAGAGCTGAACAGAAAATCTCAAGAGGCAGCTCAAAAAGACAAAGTGAAGTATTATAATGAAATGTGCAAGGACCTGGAGTTATTAAAACCAAAAGGAAAGAACATGCTCAGCAATTCTCAGGCAGGAAAGAACTGAAGAAAAAATGTAAGCCTATGGTTGTGCTATTGAAGGATTCTATGGGAAAAATATTGAATGACGTAAGATACATCAAACAAGAAGGAAGGAATTCATAGAGTCACTGTACCAAAGAGATTAGTTGATGCTCAGCCATTGCAAGAGGTAGCATATGATCAAGAATCAATAGTACCGAAGGAAGAAGTCCACTGAAGACAGTGGAAAAAAACAAGGCTCTAGGAATTTATGGAATACAAATGGAAATGCTTCAACAAACCAATGCAGAGCTGGAGATGCTCACTAGTCTATGCCAAGAAATTTGGCAGAGAGCTACCTGGGCAACCAATTGGGAGAGATCCATATTTGTGCCGATTCTGAAGAAAGGTGATGCAATTGGATGCAAAAATCATTGAGCAGTATCATTAATATTACATGCAAGTAAAATTTTGCTAAAGACCATGAAAAATTTTGCAGCACTATATCTACAGGGAGCTGCCAGAAATTCAAGTCAGACTTAGACAATGTGGGGAATGTCATTGTTGACATCAGATGGATCTTGGTTAAAAGCAGAGAATACCAGAATTATGACTGAGATTTACTATGCATAGGCATTCACCTTGTGGATCATAACAAACTAAGGACTGCATTACAATGGATATTCCAGAACACTTCATTGTGTTCATGAGGAACCTATACACAGGCCAGCACATATGTGGGAGAAAAAGGAGCCCTCCTGGCACTCTAGAATAAGCACTAGACTGCCAAGTGTAGGAGAAAGATAAGGCTTTCTCCTCCCATTAATCTTTACAGACTCAGAAATTTGGAAACCCTACACAGGATCTCTAATAGCCGGAACTAACTGATGGCAGTAAGCTACATGGGAGAAGAGTAGCCCTGGTGGCACAATGGGTTAAGTGTTATATGTTAACCACAAGGTCAGTGGTTTAAACCCAACATCTGCTCCAAGGAAGAAAGATGAGAAGTGTCTCTCCCAGAATGATTTCGGCTCAGAAACCCTGCGGAGTAGGCCTACTCTGCCCTCTGAGGGTGGCGGAATCAACTTGATGATATGGGAGAAAGAACTGGCAATAGGGTCTCCTGAAAGATTCTGGTTTAGGAAACCCTATGGTGGCCATGTGGTCACCACGAATCTACAATCAACTTGGAGGCACTTAACAACAACAAGAAATAACTGAGACGGAGAAGAGGATGAGCATGGCTCCTGGGTTTCTAGTTAGGGTGGCTGGTTGGGGGATGGTAAGACACTGTGCTGTCAGATATAGGCTGGCAGGCAGGTGGAAAGTCAAATCTGAGGTCGCTACAAGAATTCCACAGTGGAGATGGCTAGTGGGTAGCTGGGCAACAGAATAAGACCGTTTGAGAAAATCTCCTCAAATGATGGTGGGACTGCCATATCTTATGTCCAGTATCATTCTGTAACCTCCTTCTCAGTAGAATTGGTGTCTGATTCGACTTTCATCCCAATGTGGTGTGTGGTGTCTCCAGTCTCCATGCAATTGGTGCAAAGGCAGCAGTAGTCTGTGTCTGCCTTCTGCAGCTACACAGAGAGCACCATGTTCTTTGAACAGGAAGTGACACAGTCAGATCAGTGCTTGAGGAGGATTAAGCTACATTTGGGAAAAGAGGACCTATCAAACACTAGGTGACCTGGGCAAATGAGAGCTGGCCAACAAAGGGTACACCTAACATCCTCAAACCCAAATGTCACTCAGATAGTGGCTCCATGGGAAAAGTGGTTCTTTAAAAATGCAATTGGATGGAAGAAATACTTTTTCCTCTGAAGAATTACAGAAGTAAATGCTAAAAGTAATGGTAACCTGACAGTAGTTTTTCGGATATTGGGTAAAATAAGAAACAATAATTGGAAACTGACTAAATCAAAATTCCCTTAGAGTGATTTTTTTTTTTGTTTTGTTTTTAAGGCGTAACATTTAAATCACTTACCAAAGATAATAATACTGAAAGTACCTTCGATTTATCATACAAAACAGTATTCTGAATGAATACTGTTTTGTATGATAAAATGAATGAGTATCTAACTTACATAGGAAGCAAAGTGATTATATGCCTTTAAGAGGAGACTCTTCCAAAATGATAGCAGCTTTGCTTCCTCCATGAGCAATGAGTTGAAACAAAATAGAACCAAACAAAACCCACTGCCATTGAGCCAGTTCCCTCTCATTGTGACCCCGGAGATGAGTAGAACTGTTCCATTAGATTTTCTTGATGGCAAGCTCTATGAAACCAAATCACTAAGTCCTTCTTCTAAGACAGTGATGGGCTTAAATGCCAACTTTTAGGTTAGTTGGTGGTGTTGTGTTGCTAAACCTATTACAGCAACCCTGTAATAAGGTTTCTGGGCACAAACAATCTGAACTACCCAGGGACCTTTCTGGCGCTCCTGAGGACTAATTAACTCATATACAACACAGCAGTCTTGGGTGGGATGCTCTGGCCCTCTTACCTGACAGTCCAGGAGGGTCCTCTGGACTGAGATCACACTTCCAGGCTTTTGTAAACTCTTGAGTCTCTCTTCTTGAGCTTCCATCCAGTTGTTCAAGAGCTGTATTTTGTTCTCATTCTCAATGATATTTTCCAAAAGTTGTTCGAGATGTTGTATCTAAAATTGTAATCAACAAACGAAAATTCCCTTATTTTAGACCACATATTTAAAAAGCAAGCATCAGGATTGATTATTTTCAAAGAGAAAAATGTGGTGTTTTTAAATGTTTAATTTTAAATATTAATATTTCTAATTAGATTTGCCACTGTTTGGATTAAACATTCATAAATCAAGAAACAAAATTTAAATTCCCTTAAAAATACCCAATGTTTAAAAATGAAAGCTAACACATTCAGAAAGCTGGCTGCTTTGCAATTTCATAAAGTCTACAAAAAATATCATTATGGGGTTAGTTAGCATGCAGTATTTTTTCATTGCATCATGTTAATACATGTAAATATTTACATATTAACACGTTTTATCTATTTATTTTACATATTAATATGCAATACATATTAATACATGTAAAGTTTAGGAAAATTTCTTTCCCCAGATTCTCATTAGTCATAGAAAAAATTTATGTTGATAAAAGAAAATCACAAATAAATTTCACCAATCTAATGAAATAATCCTTGTTTTTAATGTCTGTGACTCTTTTCATGTCTTCTAGGCATAATTTTTATTTGCTTACTGTCATAATAGCTAGAAAATTTCATATTATTTGATCATTCCATAAGCCCTTTCTGTGTTATGTCTTTTATTTTAAAGGCTGGCCAATATGTCATCAAAAGAACAAAGTATAATATGATTAATTATGCACTCATAGTTGGAAATTAAAACATTTTACGTTTTTCACCAGTATATTTAATGTGCATTTTTTTCCCTTTTTAAATGTCTAAAATGGGGTGAGATGGTTATGTGATTCTTGGAATTTTCTAAATATTTTCCCAAAGGTTTTTAAACAGCTATCAGCAATGTATGAGTGAGATACCTTTGAACTTTATCCTTCACTTACTTTTTTAAATGTAGTAAGTATATTTGTTATTGTTGTTAAGTGCAGTCGAGCTAGTTCCAACTAATAGTGACCCTTTGTAGGGTTTCTGAGGCTTTAAATCTTTGTGGAAACAGAAAGCCTCATCTTTGCTACAGAGCAGTTACTGGGCTTGATCTGCCAACCTCGTGGTTTGTAGCCAAGCACTTATTTACAGAAGGAGCTCTGGTAGCACAGTAGTTACGAATTGGGCTGCGAATTGCAAGGTCAGCAGTTTGAAATTACCAGTTGTTCCGTGGGACAAAGATGAGGCTTTCTGCTCCTGTAAAGATTTACAGTCTCGGAAACCCTGTACAGGGTCGCTATGAGTCGGAACCGACTCCACAGCACTTAACAACAACACTTATTTACAGAGCCATATAATATCTTTTTTAACATCTCATAATTGGAGTTGAAACACTTATGTGTCTATTTACTAATTATGTGATTTGTCTGTTCATGTTTTTTGTCTATACATGCACTTGGAATTTTAATTCTATAAATCTATTTCTATGCATGAGCTACATAATAAAAAGATTTATCAATTATCATTTGATATATTTTCTCAAGAATGAATTTTTGTAATCTTTTCAGAGTGAAAAAAATTTTCCAAAAAGCTATACATATCTGTTTTTTTAACATATAATCTTTCGAGGTTAAATAACTTTGCCCTTTTGAACACCTACTTTTACAGCAAGGGTCAAAATCTGTGAAGATTTAGTAGCCTGATACATTCTTGGTATCTTCTTAAATAAAATTCTTCCTCTTCATTTGCATATCTCAATTCCCCACTGAGAAATCTCAGACAAAATACAAGAAGTATTTTCATACTTTCTTATGTCCACCAACGGAGACAAGGAAAACATTGGGTTTATAAAAACCAAAGAAATCACTCCCATCAACTTGATTCTAACTCATAGCAACCCTATAAGAAAACGTACAGCTGTACTATAGGGTTTCCAAGGCTGTAATCTTTATGGAAAGGAGCGCTGGTAGCGTAGTGGTTACAAATCCGGCTGCTAATCTCAAGGTCAGCAATTGGAAACTACCAGCAGTTCTGTGGGAGAAAGATGAGACTTTGTGCTCCCGTAAAGATTTGCAGCCTCGGAAACCCTGTGCAGGGTTGCTATGAGTTGGAACTGACTCCATGGCACATAACCACCACCACCACCAATCTTTATGGAAGCAGATTGCCATATCTTTCTTCTGAAAAGTGGCTGGTGGATTTGAACTCACAGATCTTTTTGGTTAACAGACAAACACAGTACCACTGACTCTCCCTGCCCCTCAGGCTCCTACATAGGATTTATAAAAGGGCTGTAATTGACAAGACTGTTAGACAAATATCTGAATTGTTTTTGTTCAATTTTTTAAGAAAGTGATATTCTGCAAAGGTTAAACCATCCATCAAACCACGACACACAAGCACACCTTTCTATTTAGTGATCCATGTAACCGGTGCCACTGGCGGTTCAACTCTCCCAGGTGCTCCGCAAATTCCGTCCTCTCATAGCGCTTACTTTCTACGTCACAAGTGCTTAGCTGAAGTAGCGACTGGTTAACAAAGTCAACCATCCATTGCTTATAGTCCATTTCCATTCTGAACTCCTAAGGCAAGAAAAGACACAGATAAATAAACAAAATCAAAACCTGAACTGAATACATTAAATGAATTGGATTTCCCTTCATGCATTCAGGCTTACATCCATTAACCAAGGAGTGCCTTGACTGATAATATTGTAGTCTAGAACTTCCAGCTAATTCTTGACTATATCAAAGCACTATCATTAGATTCAAGTTCTGAACTGACGAATAAACAAAATTTCCTTGATCAGCGTTGCTACATAAAAATTCTAAGACCATGTTTAGATGGATGCCTGTCAGGAGTTACGTTCTACCTTCCTTCACTGTCTATCTCTACCATCTTCCTACAAGGAGTCTGTTTTGGGATTCTTTTTAGGATTTATACCTTCCTGGAAGCAGACAAACTCATTAATTTCAAATAGAATGAAAAGCCAAAGGGAGTACTGTATATGGTAGTTATATCATCTGAACCAACATTAGTTTCCCAAATGTGACAAAGGGTTCCTATGAAAGGTGACCTGAGAGCTACACAGGAATGCTGGGCCAATCTGATGGTTTATGGGAACTACAAGAAAGAGATCAGAAGGCTCTCCCATCTTTAGGGAACTTGGCCAGTTTAGTCAGTTTCTTATATTCTGCTGTGCACGGACAAGGCCTCTCAGGCCTTCTGGATTGGTTTGGATGGCTTCACAATCTATTGCACACCTAAACGCACTCACAGAGTCAAATATATTTCCCCCAAGCCTGCCACTTGTTGGTATGTATGCTGGAAATCTCTACGTATACCAGGGGAAAACCATGTGGTATGTGATTGGTCACTACAACCTTCAAGAATATATATTTAGAGGTGATTTAAGGATTCTGCTATTTATAGACAACAAGATGAGATGGTACAGAAAATAAAACCCTTTGCTAATACCATGTTTTGTGCTTAAGCTATTCCACCAGTCCACAAGGGCTTAAAGAGCAATAACCAGGGTTTCTATTCATTTTTGCATTTCTAGTGCTTAGCACACCACCTGGCACACAATAAACGTTTATGCGTGGCTTGTTAAATGTTATTAAATCTACCTGAAATTAAATATCACAGCAAAGGTTGCATTTATATCTATTGCTCAAGACCAACTTTTCCTTGACTCACTCCTGTCCTCAAAGGACATTTCTTTAACACCCATCAGATGTCAAGGGTTGTGCTGCGTGTACTAAGCCAGGGAGGTGGATCATGGTCCCTTCTGTTACGCAGTTCAGTTTAGGTGAGGAGCCGGGCAAGGAGATAAACAACTATGATACTATGTAATAAGGATGACTGTATTGACATGGATACACCTGATCCAAGATTGTTGCCCAATATGGCTGAGAGAGTCAGGGATGGATTTCTGAATGACAAGATACTTGAACTGGTTCTTGAAGGATGCCTCAAAGGCTCTACACAGCCAAGCCTGTGGCACTGGCATTCTAGGTCAAGGTGTGGCAGCTATCAAAGCATGGAGGAGTGAGACTGCCAGAAGCAGTGAAACTCATTACAGTCAAGTTGACTCCAACTCACAGCAACCCTGCAGGACAGGACAGAAATGCCCCCTACCCTACAGTTTCCAAAGCAGGAATCTTTACAGAAATAGACTGCCCCATCTTCTTCCTACAGAGTGACAAATAAGTTCAAACCGCTGACCTTTCAGTTAGCAGTCAAGTACTCTAACCACTGCATCACCAGGGCAGAGCAACTGTTAGTGGGTTTAAGTGTCCTCAAGTTCATTCCAGCTCATAGTGATCCTGTACATGGTTTCCAAGGAGTGGCTAGTGGGGTTTGAACTGCCAACCTTTCGATTCGCAGTACAGTGCTGATCCTACAGTGCGACACCAGGAGTCCCAGCAGCTAAGCACTTTAACCATCACGTCCAAGCAGCTGAGGGACTGCAAGTTATTGGGTTCAGACAGTCCCGACTTTCCATGGGGAGGTATAGCGATATCAGACCAGTTTAATGGCTTGGATTTTGTCTTGTGATGGGAGCTACTAGAGGAATTTAAGCACACTTTCTCTCCAAACACCCATCACCCTCTCTCCCCTACACACAGGATTAGTTTTTCTCAATAATATTCTACATGTCTCTATGTTCAGCATTTCCCCTCGGACTGATTTGTCTTCTTATCTCTTGAAAAGACTTCTGGCTCTTTTTGCATAATTACCTTGTACTTGAGAAGAAGATTTTTAACTTGAGATGTGGAACTTGGTGAATGCATGGTCTCTTCATTTGCAGTTTGAAGCTCTACATTGTTCATCCAGCTAATCATTTCTGTGATTGCTTTACGAGATGGCAATTTCTCCATCTGAAGCTGTAAGGACAAAATGATTTCCATTTAATTACCTGCAGTTAACAACATGAATCAGGGCATCACTAAAGATGATATCTGGTTTGATAAAAGGTCTTGCTTCCTAATTATGCAGGTTACTCACACAAACAAACCCAGCATTCAAGTTTAGAATAAGCGACCCCCAAACAATAAGAATGACCTTCACATAAACTAGCACAGTGGTACAGATAAACTAGGATATAAAGTAATTAAGCCTGATTTCTCTCTTAAGAAAAATCCCATGGGAGAAGAGTCCAGTAATTAAGACCTATATTCACTGGTGCCAGATAGAAATAGGTAGTGTCAAGGAAAATTATTGAGTCAGAGAACTAATTTCTGTGAACAAGTGAATGCTAATTCAAATGCTGGGTCTTTAAATACTTACCTGGTGAAGTTTTTCTTGAATATCGGGAAGTTGAGTTATGAGCATTGTCCACTTTTGTTCAAACTGTGCTAAAGAGGCTCTCAGAGTAGCAGTATCAGCTTCTTTCAGGTGAAGAAGTTGGTTTCCAGTACTTAAAACTGCTGTCTTCAAAGAGGACTTTGCATCAACTTCCTTTGAGAATTCCTAAAGGAAATTAAGATGTAAAATTTAGAAACTTTCAAAATTTAAAAAACAAGGTGACCCCAAAAAGTTTGTGGAAAATGAAATTAGGAGATAATGGAAAATTTTCTTGAAGCCCCCTCTTATAGCACCAAAACAAAACAAAACAAAGTATGTGTCAGGATAAGAGGTTAGAGTCTAACAAAAAAAAAACGTAGCAAATATTTGCATGTGTGTGGGAAACAAAATATTTCCTATGTGTTTCATATTTAAGATATACAGCAACAAAGAAGATATAATTCTTGCCTTGCAAGTGGTTTATAATCAAGTGAATTAATATTTTTAAAAGACACCAATGTTCATAGCAGCACTATTTACAATAGCAAAAACATGAAGACAGCCTAAGTGCCCATCAACTGAAGAATGGATAAACAAACTGTGGTACATACACACAATGGAGTATTATGCTACCTTGATGAACAACAAGGAAGCTGTAAGCTATCACATAAACATGGATAAACCTTGAGGACATTAGGTTGAGTGAAATTGTCAGTCACAAAAGAAGAAACACTGCACAGGACCACTATTGTAAAAGACTAAGCAATCCAAAGAAAAGGAGGAGGGATCCTTTGCTGGTTACCGGGATGTGGAGGGTGGGTTGAGGGAAGGGAGGGAAAGGTGGAGCATAGGATAGGGACTAAGACACAGGATAGGTTGGGTGCTGGGGGGTGGGCAATATACAGGAAGGGGGAGGATAATGGAAGAACAAAGTGTATGGGAAAACAATTAGGCAGGTTTGCATGGGCTAAGTGGGACAGAGGTAAATAATGATGTATGCACAACCTTGGAACAATTGGGCTCTGGTATACAGGGGTTGAGACATGGTTGGAATGGGGAAAAGTGGGGAGATAATATTAAGATGCTTGGCTGTCTTTTGAATCTTGGTTTCCCTTGCACACTATTACAGACACTTGAAGGGGAGAGAAGGGAATAGTCAGAAATATCACCACAGAAAGCTGGTTAAGTCCGTCTTCTGCCTATAATTGATTGGAATACCTAAAATGGGGCTACAATGTGCCCAGTGAAGGAGGCTTCCTATGGAGCCTCTGCATTATATAAGACCATAGGTGGAATCCTAAACCCCATCCAGAATCATCTGAGGTGGGAAATTTCCACTTGAAAGGACAAGAAGACCAGCCTGGAGCAGCTAGAAGAACAGAAGATACTTCTTGAAAGAAAGACTGACAGGAAAAATACAAAACAATATAGGCAGACCAACTGACTACTACAAAAACAAGCAAGTTCCTTGCCCAGGAGACATCAAGGCAAGTGGTCGGGAACCCTCAGATTCAATGGGACTACACGCTCTGATTGGTGACCACGTTCGTCACTGATAAGGTGAAGTGAGGGAAAAACAGCAATGAAACTGAGCTAAGCCCTACAACGTTCAATAGACTATTGTGAACCCAGGTGGAAAACTGGTTGGCCAGCAGTGTTGCAAGACCTGGGGACTCTTGGGCCCAGAGTCAGCGACAAGCCATAGAGGACTAGAGTGGAGAGTGAAGTGTCCAACTGATAAGAAGAGAGGGCAAATGCACAAGAACACCCACACTTACAGATAAAACCCACTTGACCTGGCTTCAATGACTGGATGATCAGAGCTCAACTAGAAGAAGAAAGAAGAGGGGAAAAAAAAGAGTAATGTGATACAATTTGATCAACTTGACCTACACCTATGGATGCAGTAACTCAAAAGAGGGAACAAATCTTTAGAGCAAGGATCATTCCCACCCCCCTCCATGCACAGAGTAGACAGGGATGGGCAACTTGGACATTGGCTACCCAAATTGGGGTGGATACAAAGGCAAGAAGTGACTGGCTTACAAGCTTTCAAGAGGGAACCTAGATCCAGAGGGTGTGGAGGAAAGTAGATACTACTCAGTGGAGTAGTATCCAATTTGTCTAGGCAGGGCTGATGAAAGGAAATGCGGATAGGTCTCTTGTGATACAGTAGTGAATAACTGTTATCAGGACCAATTGTGAAGGTTGTAAATGTAAAGGTAGACATTTTGTAGCAAGGAGGGGAGTGATTAACTTTGCAGTCTAGGAGCAGAGGTCCCTGGGACCATCAAGGGAGAAGAGTGGAGAGCGAGACCCTACTCAGAGAAGCAGTGACGCCAGAGATAGAGGCAGAGATGATGATGTGGAGAGATGGAGAGGCTAGGGACTCTAGACCCAGAGAGGAAAAGGGTCTGTGTACTGAAGAATGGGGGTCAGGCTTGCAGGGTATACCCTTTGGTTGGTTGATGATGCATGGAAGGGATTGTAACCATGGCAATGAAACAATTGTCCCATGTAAACTATCACATAATTCGCAATAAAGCATTAAAAAATTTTTTTAAAAAATAGAAAAGTCATTCTTTCCAAGATAACTTTCAAAAGAGACTATGGAGGGCAACTTGGATATTGGCTACCCAAAATGGGGAGGGGGGTAGGGCTACAAAGGCAAGAAGTGACTGGCTTACAAGCTTTCAAGAGGGAACCTAGATCCAGAGGGCCTGGAGGAAGGTAGCATCTCCAGTGAGTAGCATCCAATCTGTCTAGGCGGAGTTGATGAAATGAAATGCAGATGGTTCTCTTGTGATGCAATAGTGAATAATTGTTATCAGGACTGATTGTGAAGGTTGGAAATGTAAAGGTAGACATTTTATAGCAAGGAAGGAAGTTATTAACTTTTCAGTCTAGGAGCAGAGGTCCCTGGGACCATCAACGGAGAAGAGCCGAGAGCGGGACCCTACCCAGAGAAACAGTGATGCCTGAGATGGAGGCAGCAACAATGACATGGAGCGATGGAACAGCTAGGGGCTTTAGATCCAGAGAGGGAGAGCGACTGTGTGCCGAAGACTGGGGAGGTGGGGATAGTGTAGGGCGCAGGCTTGCAGGGTATACCCTTTGGTTGGTTGATGATGCATGGAGGGGATTGTAACCATGGCAATGATATGATGTATGACAGAATGAATATAAAACTAATGTTCTCCCATGTAAACTATCATATAATTCACAATAAAACACTAAAAAAAAAAAAAAAAAAAAAAGAGACTATGGAAAACCATGCAAAGTTATGTTTTTAATTGAAAACTTTTCAATTAAAAACAGGTTGCATTCATTAAATGTAAACTTGCATATTTGAAAGTTTTCATATTTGAAATATTTCATATTTGAAAATAATTAAAATATTTGAAAGCTCGTTTATGCTTTATAGAATTTGTTTTCACATATACTTTTAAAATATTCATATTTGAAGACCCAAGCAAGTAAACATATCTTGAAAATATGAAAAATAGATAGTGAAAAAGGCTAAGGGAAAATATAGAAGGAACTCTTGAGTATAATTATTTTGATAGAGAACAAAAACTTTTTAGTAGAAATGCCAATTCTCTATATAAAAATTTTAAACTATGCATCTATTAACTTTGGTGGTGGTGATTATGTGCCATGGAGTTGGTTCTGACTCATAGCGACCCTGTATAGGGTTTCCGAGGCTATAAATCTTTATAGGAGCAGAAAGCCTCATCTTTCTCCCATGGAGCCGCTAGTAGTTTTGAACTGCTGACCACGAAGTTAGCAGCTCACTTCATAACCATTACACTACCAGAGCTCCTTTCTATTATTATTATTATTTTAAATTTTAAATTGGTTAAGTAATACTCCTGTAAACTTTTTCTTGTTTTTTTGCAGGAGAGAGGGGTCATGTATATTCTGCATTTGTAAAACATGCCCATATCAGAGCAAGCTTTACATTTATATAAATTCATAGGATCAAATGAAAACATATCCTCATTATAAAATCCAAGAATATAAGCAAATAAATTTTTAAATTATTTGTTTAAATAATTAAATCCCTAGAATTTATTTCTGATCAATAGTTATCTGAGCATAGTATGACAGCTTACAAAAAAGTTGTTTATGTTGCTTCTGATTGTGTCCAAGTCCTGGGACACATTGAGGGACTGTTCTTTCCAGTAATTCAGTGTTTGTTGAGAAGATTCCAACCACTTGGCTAACTCATCCGAATCTTTGTTATAGCTGAAATGGAGCAAAGTGAGAGAAAAGGAAATTAGAAACACACTTTGATGATTATATACATTCCCAGTAGTTTTTCTTTTTACTTGACTATGTAGTTTACTATGATGATCAGCTCTACTACTCAGAAAACCTATGATGATTTATTAATTGCATCCTATTTCATACTATGTGCCAAATCTGAAGTTCTTGGCATGTTCTAGAATTCGATCCATTATGATCAATCAAGAACAAAGGGACATATAAAATCCGAAACATTTTTTACTTATGTTTTTCACACCCATGGCATGACCCAAGTTTTTTTTTTTCCTCTCAACAAACGTTCTCTATAGATTTGCTTATAGTAAAAGTATAATCAGCATTTGTAAAAGTTATGTAACAGCAAACTGTTATTGTTGCTGTTGTTGTTAGGTGCCATGAAGTTGGTACTGACGCAATTCAACTCTTGCATTCCAACTTGAGTACATGTTGGATTAATCTCAGACTGCAGAAGTTGGTAGAATTCTTTAATTTCACCTTTGCTGGCTTTAGTGGTTGATGCGTAAATTTAAGTAACAATTGTATTAACTGGTCTGCAGTCTTAAGGATATTATCCTATCACAGACAGAGCTGTACTTCAAAAGAGATTTTTTAAATGTTCTTTTTGATAATGAATGTGACACCATTCCTCTTCAATTTGTCATTCCCGGCACAGTAAACCATGTGATTGTTAGATTCAAAATGGCTAATAGCAGTCCATTTTAACTCACTAATGCCTACAATATTGATGTTTATGTGTTCCCTTTCATTTCAGACAACTTCCAATTTTCTGATTCACACCTTGAACATTCCATGTTCCAATTTTTAATGGACGTTTATGGCTGCTTCTCTTCATTTTGAGTTGTGCCTCATCAGCAAATGGAAGTCCTGAAAATTTTACTCCATTCTCATCATCAAGGTCAACTGTACTTTGAAGAGGCAGTTCTTCCCCACTCACATTTGGAGTGCCTTCCAAATTGAGGGGCTTATCTTCCGGCCTATTATCAGACAATATTCTACTGCTCTTTTATCATGTTTCAATATTCAATACTCTGGTGCTATCTGACTGCTGTTCTTAAGTGTTTCAGTGACGAAATATTCAGAAGTAGTCAGTCTCTTCTTCTTCCTAGACTGTGTTAGTATGGAAACTCAGCTGAAATCTGTCCACTATGGGTAACCCAGCTGTAATTTTAAGTAACCAGTTGCATACCTTCCAGAAACATAGCAACACACAAGCCATCACAGTACGACAAACTAATAGACAAAGGGGTAGAAACTGTTATTGGTTGAATATTTTCTAGCAGGATGAAAATACCCAAAACAAAATGTTGTTCCTCTTGTAACAATTTAAACTTCAGTCAGGCAGGCCTCTCAGAGCAAGGATAAAATGACATTCAGTCTTCCATATTCCCTGTCTTCACTAAGTAGCTCAAAATCACATCAAATAAGCAAAAAAAAAAATTCTCTAAAAAACTGCAGAATGTTTTTCAAACTCTTCTGTTAGCTAAAATCTGTTTTGTTTTGTTTTCACTTTTGGAAGAGAACTGGAAACAGCAATACCATGGTGTAAATGTAACATGTTATTTTATAACACACTTCCTAGTTTCCATGGAAATGCATAAACAATTATATAATATCTGTAGTCTAGCAAACCCATACCACACCCTAGATCTCATTCAGAAGACTCACTTAGACTGTTAAAGAAAAAAACAGTACAAAGAGAGGGACTACACATAAAATTTGGTTGACTGCACCCTTTAAGGTCGTCTCCACATCATTATTCCTAAAGAAAACATACCTGAGAAGATGCTTGAGAAGTGTCTGAAGTCTATGTAGTTCATTGTCAATCCTTTTGTTTACTGACAACCACTGATCTTCCAGTTTTGAAATCTGGCCTTCTAATTCAGGACAGTTCACAGATGTCACTAGCTGCTTACCTACATTCAGAGTCTGGTATAGCCGAGCATGTTTTTCATCAATGTTTCTTTTTATTTGCTAGTAAAAGTAAAGCCATAAAATGATTAACAATAACAACAACAAAAATCAGAAAGCCAATCTATTCACAAATACTTTATTAAACATCTACATTTGGGAGTCCTGGTGTGGCACTGTAGGATAAGCACTGGGCCACAAGGTTGGCGTGAACCACAAGGTTATTTGTTCTAATGCACCAAGTGCTCTTTGGAAACCCTAAACAGAGTCACTATGAGTTGGAATTGACTTGATGACATTTAACAACAACAACAAAGGAACATATAGTCTGGCTGGACAAACATGATTAATCGTACATACTCTACTATGTTGTTGTTGTTAAGGACCATCAAGTTGGTTCTGACTTATAGCGACCCTGTATAGGATTTCTGAGGAGCAGCTGGTGGGTTTGGACTGCCGACCTTGTAGTTCACAGTCCAGTGCTGGTCCTACAGCACGATACCAGGAGTCCTATCAAACACCTTTCACAATGATTTTGAAAACTCACCTATGATGGGTACAGGTCTACAGCACAGATTCAATTCTATAGACTTACATATATAACCAGAAAACTGAAGTTCACAAATCTGCAACATTGGTCTTAGTTCATTTGATAGTTCATTTCTCCAGCCAAAACCAAAAGGTAAAAGACAAGTTGGCAGGCCACATTCAGCTACTGTGGCACATGAAGACTCAGAAAATTAGAACCATTTAAAAATACTGATATTGGAGGTTAAACTTATGTGACAGACTTTGTACAACCTGAGGATTATTTTTTTTAAATCAGGAGACTGATTCTACATTGCTGTTGTTCTTAGCTGTAGTCAAGTCAGTTCCAACTCATACCAACCCTATGCACAATATAAAGAAATACTGCCAGTCCTCTGCCAATACTACAATTCTTGTTTGAGCCCACTATTGCTGCCACTGTGTCAATCCATCTCTTTGGAGGTCTTCCTCTTTTCTGTTGACCCTCCATCTTAACCAAGCATGATGTTCTTCTTCAGGAACTGGTCCTTCTTGACAACATGTCCAAAGAATGAAAGACAAAGTCTCACCATCCTGGCTTCTAAGGAGCATTCTGGCCGAACTTGTAACACAGATTTGTTTGTCTTGTGGTAGTCCTTGGCATTTTTTATATTTTTCTCCAACACCACAATTCAAAAGCATTGATTCTTCTATGGTCTTCCTTATTCATTTTCCAACATTCACATGCATATGACATGACGTGATTCAAAACACCAGGGTTTGGGTCAGGTGAACATTAGTCTTCAAAATGACAAATGTGCTCTTTAGACATTCAAAGAGGTCTTGTGCAGGAGATTTGCCTAATGAATTCACCACTTGATTTCTTAACTGCTGCTTCCATGAGTATTGATTGTGGATCCAAGCAAAATGAAGTATTTGACAACTTCAATGGTGAAAGGATACAATCCTAATGACAACTTTCCTGATTTTAAACCATTCAGTGCCCCCTTGTTCTCTTTGAACAACTGACTCTTGGTTTATATACAGGTTCCTCATGAATACAATTAAGTGTTCTGGGATACCCATTCTTCACAATGTCATCCATAGCATGCTATGATACACACAGTTGGATGACTGTATAGTCAGTGCTGTTGTTGTTGCTAAGTGACCTCGAGTAGGTTCAGACTCACAGCTACCCTGGTATAGGGTTTTCAAGGAGGAACTGGTGGGTTTGAATTGTCTATGTTATAGTTCGTAGTCCAGTGCTAATCCTACAGCGCCACACCAGGAGTCCATAAAGCATATGTAAACATCTTTCTGGTATTCTCTGCTTTCAGCCAAGATCCATCTAACATCAGCAGTGATATTCCTACTTCCATGTCCTCTTCTGAATCTGGTTTGCATTTCTGGCAGCACTTTATCAGTTTATTGAAGGGTTTCAATTTATATTCCATCAATTCTTGGAGCCTTGTTTTCACCATTGCCTGAAGTACACCTTGGACTTTTTCCTTCAGTATTATCAGTTCTTAATCATGCTTGCTGAAAGTGAAGAGGACTTGAAACATTTACTTATGAAGATCAAAGAGTACAGCCTTCGATATGGATCACACCTCAATGTCAAGAAAACAAAAATCCTCACCACTGGACCAATAAACAACATTCTTGTCAATGGAGAAAAGATTGAAGTTGTCAAGGACTTCATTCTTCTTCGATCAACTATCAACACTCGCGGAAGCAGCAGTGAAAAGATCAGACGACTTATTGCAGTGGGCAAATCTGCTGCACAGGAACTTTTTAAAGTATTGAAGAGCAGAGATGTCAGCTTGAGGACTAAGGTGCGCCTGACCCAAGCCATGGTGTTTTCAATAGCCTCATATGGATGTGAAAGCTGGACAGTGAATAAGGAAGATCGTAGAAGAATTGATGCCTTTGAGTTGTGGTGTTGGAGGAGAATACTGAAAGTGCCATGGACTGCCAAAAGAACCAATAGATCTGTTTTGGAAGAAGTGCAGCCAGAGTGCTCCTTGGAGGCCAGGATGGCTAAGCTTCGTCTCTCATACTTGGGACATATTGTCCAGAGGAAACAGTCGCTGGAGAAGGATGTCATGCTGGGTAAGGTGGAGGGTCAGAGAAAAAGAGAAAGACCCCTAACGAGATGGATTGGCCAGGTGGCATCATTGATGGACTCAAGTGTGGCAGCCGTAGTGAGGCTGGCCCAGGATCGGACATTGTTTCGTTCTGCTGTGCATGGGATCGCTATGAGTCGGTTCCAACTCGATGCACCTGACAACAACAACAACCTCTTGAAATGGTTGAGCAGCAACAAATTCTTTTGGGTACAGTGACCTCTGTATTTTTTCCATCTTCTTTGATGCGTCTTGCATCATTCAGTATTTTGACCACATAATAGTTCAATATTACAAGTCAAGGCTTGAATTTTTCTTCAGTTCTTTTAGCTTGAGAAATGCTGAACATGTTCTCTTTTGGTTTTTTTACTCTTGGTCTTTGCACACAATGAACTGTGGCAAAGACCTGGAGTTAGGAAACTGAGCATCAGTTTTTTAATCAGTAAATTTTCCACAGAACTTGGAAAATTAGAAGAGCTGGTAAAATGGGTCTGTATTCTCATGTGGCAAAACTGGCTGGAACCAAGGAGCTTCCTCTGGTAGAAGAGCCTAAGCTTTAGTTCTCTGGGTCCCACCAGTCCTAGCACCATATACCCAGCTAGAGCCATGTATTTCTGTTCTCTTGCTTGGCCACCTTAAAGCTTTCATGTTTAACCTAAGTAGAATGGGATCGATAGGAAATTGTTTATTTTTCTTTAGACCCAAATACTACAAAAAACCCCAAAATTCTAGAGTCACCTGACTGGAAGGATTTAGTAGTGAGAAAGAAAAAGAACTTTAGAAAAATTAAACAGATAGTATATCATCCAACTTCATGAGGAGAAAAAGAAAACAAACTACAGCTACAATAACCCCTTGAAGAGAACTGTCTATAACCACAGCTGGGTTCAGCTAATGACATGTAGCCTGTCACCTGTTTAATTTCATCTTAAAATGAAATGAGCAAAGTTTGACTCCTTAGTACACTGGCTTATCAGGGATGGGCAATTTAGACTTCGGCTATCAAAATTGGGGGGCTACAAAGGGACAAAGTGGCTGGCTTGCAAGCTTTCAGGAGAGTTCTTAATGTCAGAATGAGGTGGGTAAGATTGAATCCCCACCCTACTGAATAGTTTTCCTTGTGTTCGGATAGATCTGGTGATGATGGGGATAGGATTTTATGATTCAACTGTGAGTTAATTGTTTTTAGGTCTAATGATGATTTTATGATTGTAAATGTAGAAGAGGTATAACTAAAAGGGGGAAGCAGTTAATTTGTCATTTCAGGAACAGAGAACCCTAGGACAATCAAGAGAGAAAAGCATGAGTGGAGTGAGGGATCCTAACCAGAAAAGCGGTGAAAACAGAGATGGTGCCTGAGGCAATGGTGCAGCAGAGGACTCTAGATCCATGGCCTGAGAAAGGCAGTGTGCCTGCAGGTAGGAGGTTGGCTTGCAAAATGTGCTCTTGTGACATTTTAACAAATACATATTTTGACTGTGTTATATGTACATTAAAAAAAAAAAAAGGTAATAGAGGTAAATACTGTTAGCTGAGGATGTATTGGGGGGAGGGGGTTGTAATCATTGCAGTAATTTGCTGAATGTAAAACTAATGATCTGCCCTGTAACATTCACTCAATTCACAATAAAACTTAAAAAAAAAAATTAATGATCAAAATAGAACTTTTGTTATTTACCAAATAACTTAAGCCTTTAAAAAAAACAAAACACCAAAAATTCTATTTCCAATGTTCTTTCCTCCACTATCACTTGTTAACCACCCATCCCCCACACCCCCTAATCATTTGCTGCTGGAACAAAATCTCCAACATCAATTTTAAAAAAATGATCTGATATTCTGAGCTGTCATGGGCCAGACACTTCATCTTTATAGTATGGCACAGTAAGTTATGCAGTGGGCCACTAGCCAAAAGGTTGTTGGTTCAAACACACCAGTTGCTCCATGGGAGAAAGATGAGGCAGTCTGCTTCTGGAAAGATTTACAGCCTCAGAAACCCTATGGAGCAGCTCTGCCCTGTCCTGTATGGTCATCACAAGTTGAAATTGTCTCAGGTTTGGGTTCATATATATTCTGAATACTCAGTCTGTGGGGTGCTGAGCCAGAATTTAAACATGGATTTGTTTGACTCCAAAGGCCAGGCAACTGACCCCTACACTTCAGTTATCAGAGGTCCACAGACCAAGAAGATGACATTTGTCAGACACATGCAGTCCTCCATATGACTCAAAGGACTGAGAACAACCTTAGGTCCCAAGTGAAATGGACTTTATGAGCTGTCTTCTAGTAGTTTGGCAAATCTATTGAAATGTCTTAGACCAATGAGTATTTCTAATATTTCATATTTAATAGAATCACAGACTACAGATTTTAAGAAATATGGTCACTTTTTCTGCTAACCTCAAGGCTAGCAGGTCAAACCTACTAGCTTCTCCTCACAAACCCTATGCAGAGTCAGAATGAGTCAAAACTGACCTGAAGGCACTTAACAACAACAATTTTAGACTGCTTTCTTATTAATAGGAGTCTTAAAATCTACCTAGTTTTTTCTTTCTATTTTAATTGTAAAAATATAGATAACACAGCAGTTTCCAATTCAGTATTTTTCATGTGCGTATGTATTCCACGTCATGGAACCATCAGCACTTCTGTGCTGCCAAATGTTCCATCCCCATGAGCAGGAGGTTACTGTTTTAGACTGCAGTCTTTTCATTCTTCTAATGGTACCTTTTGTATCCTTAGACTAACCAAGAATTCAACAGCAGGGTTTGGTTTTTATTTTTTCCCACTCCAGAGGCCTGATATTTCCCTTAGAGTTGGACTCAACATAGTAAAGTGACAAAGAGTCCAACTTTAGCTTTCTGGGCATCTAGATATAAACAGAGTACTCCAGTCTCTGAAAAAGGTCACTTGTTGTTTATTGTTGTTGTTGTTGTTAAGTGCTGTCAAGTCGATTCTGACCCACAGGGTTTCCAAGGAGCAGGTGGTAAGCTTGAATCAGCATTGATTAAAACTCGTAACAGCCCCACGCGACAGAACAGAAACGCCCCATAGGTTTTCTAGGCTGTAAGCTTCATGGTAGCCAATCATTATGTCTTTCTCCCACAGAGCTGCTGAGTGAGTTCAAACCACCAACCTCTGGATTAGTAATTAAGTACTTAACCACTGCACCACCAGGACTGTTTGTAAAATGTTCCTTATGAAGGTTTAAATACATCCAACAATAGTAGGGCCCTGCTAAGTCTTTCCTGTGCTCATTTTCCACTCATTCTGTTCAGGCAACAAACCTGCTTTGGGAATTTCAATGCTAATAATATCCTTCTAGGATCTTGTAGTGTAGTGGTTACGAATCAGGCTGCGAACCTCAGGGTCACCAGTTCGAAACTACCAGCTGTCCCGCATGAGCAAGATGAGGCTTTCTGCTCCCATAAAGATTCACAGCCTCGGAAACCCTGCACAGGGTCGCAATGAGTCGGAACCGACTCCACAGCACATAACAACAACAACAACAACAACAACAACAACCTTCTAGGACCAGAAAACTCAGATTCTGAGCATTTATATTCTAAAAGTAAAACTCATTATTTTCTCTCAAAGCTTCTTGTTGAATAGTCTCTGTTGAGAACATCTAAAACTCTTTTTCATCTTGTTGGCCATGTTCTTTCTCAGTGACACTTGAAAACCATTTTAAGGCTTTTTCTTTTCTATGACACTGACATTTGAGACACATTAACTTTGTTTAATAGCATTTTAAAAGTGAAACAAAAACTTTCAGAAGTTTGAAGTCTTTTTATAATGTGAGAGGCAGGTACCAGGCTTACTGTCTGTCTTATGAAGCTGGGTCCAATCAGGCCTTCATGGTGGTATTAAAACTAAAAATTTCTTAGGAGCCTATCATTTACAAAGTACTTTCCATACTTTAGCTCTGTTGACACCCACATTACCCTCCTGAGACTGGTAGACCAGCTTGACTACCCATCCTGTACAGATAAAGCAACTGAGACTTCAAGGCAGTAAAGTCACAGAGTTGACACATGGGTTTGCTGAAGGACTTGAGATCAATATGGCAGTCTACCCGAGTAGACTAACATTGAGGGGTAGGACGAGCAATGTTTCATTTCAATTCAAATCATACACCTTCAAGTAACTTAGTCAAAACCAAGCAACTTAGGGGCTTTGACAACTTAGATAACGCAAAATACCTGGTATAAGGAAATCCTTTCTATTAATCTTTCCTCTGTCTCTTCCACCAAACTCACAGAGGGCAATGTAGAAATAAGAATTTCCAGGTCCTTTTCAAGAGATGCATAGTTTTCATCAAAGTCTTCCCATTTCTGGAGAATCAAGGACATAAAATTAGTAAGAGCCCTTTTCTACATTGGCACCAACTACAAAATTAATCATAAAAGTAAAAATGAACACCAAGATCATACAAAATCAAAGCAGATTCCAGAGGTTTCTGAGAGACGTAACTCTACCCAATTGAAGTCAATATTTGAACAAATGCCATTGGCACTGTGTTTTATGTTTGCCATGTCACACTGCGTAGGAAGTTAAATGTACCACCCATATAGACCTTAGAGTGGGGTGGAGAATTTTATTTCTGCCAAAATTTACAATATCATTGGCAGGTCATACAAAATTATCAACTTAAAAATTAGCCTGCTATACTCGGTCAAACGTTTCAAACCCCTACTTCTGGTGTGTCACCGTAGGCTAGGCACAGGATTGCAAGGTTGGCACTAAACAACAACAACAACAAAGGGAGTCCTGGTGTGGTGATGTGGATTAACATGCTGGCCTGCAAGTTTGGTCTGAACCGTAAACTTGGCGGTTCTAATTCATCAGTTGCTCCTCAAAAATCTGAGGATCGCTAAGAGTCGGAACTGACCCATTGACAGTAACAACAACTAAAATGTGCTGGCGGAGTCCTGGTGTGTTGCTAGGTCTCTTCTTTTGGGGCAGGACAATGGACTGAACCATGGTCTGCTTCGTCCAAATGATCTCATTCCAGAACTTGAAATGCTTTCACTTGTGTTCATATTCCAACCCAGGCGGTAGAAAGGTGCTAGATCATCTCAAATTTAGGGATGAAATCCCAACTAACATTTATTTCATTCGGAAAGTAGAAGCCAGAACTAGTACAGGGTCCGTACTCCTCATTGTCCTGCCCCATGTCACTACTGATGAATGATGCCAAGCTACTTGCGCTCTACACCTGGAAGCTTGGGTAAAAAATGGTGATTTCCTGGCTTAATGTTTGACAAAGTTTATATAACCCAAATACCTGCAACACACTCTGCAGCTTCATGCCATACTGGTGTGACTTCTCCTCTAGTAACTGAACTTCTTTTACTTGGTCTGCCCAGAATTTCTCCTTCTTTTGCAATAATGAAGGAAACTTCTTGGTGGAATATGTTTGGATCAAGAACATGTCAGCAACAAGCTTTTGGAAGAAAACCTACAAAACAGAGAAGGTCTTAACACTTGATTCATTTTTGTAAAAAAAATTCATGAATCTTACAAAGTAAGTTACTTTAATTTTTTATATAGTTATGCTTGCTTCTTAATGCAAAATCCCAGTATATCCATGCTGGAGTCAAATGCACGAAACAACAAAAAGAAAACTGACTAGAAATCCCTTCGTCTTTGAATATCCATTTTAACAAATTATAAAGAAAAATATGTGACGCTGTGGGTTGATGCACTGGAATACAAAGGTGGTTTGAACCACAAGGTTGGTGCTTCAAGCTCACCAGCCATTCCTCAGAAATCCTATACAGGGTTGCTATGGGTCAGAACCAACTCAACGGTACTTAACAAGAACAACTTCTTTAAAAATACCAATTTTAAAGTGCAAACATTATTATTTATTGGTCAATTTTAATTTCCAGTGAGATCTTCTTAAATCCTAAATCAGGCTGAGTTTAAAATTACAAGGGGCTTCAAAAGTTCATGGAAAACTTCCACCGTCTTTTAATTCCATTTCCCTACAGACCTCTGAAGCCCCCTTGTACTTTAAGCAAAAGTTAGATGTTGATATGACTGATTCATTTCAGGACGAAGAGTTGGGTGAATAAACATGAGTCCAAGAAGCCAACATATTCAATGGATTGGGCTCCCAAAGCCTGGCTTTAACTTGACTCAAGAAAATTACTGAACTAATGGAATTTCATGATGGGGTCTACCGGGATCCTAGTATATAAAAGCCCCCAGACCTGTGCTTTAAGAACCTTTTGCAAAGGAAAGCTTTCCTTCACCTGATTTTTCTCCACTCACAGTCTGCTGCCCCCTCTAGTTTTTTGGAAGGCCCTCTTAGGTAAATCCCTTCTCTTATCACTTAAACGAAAGAAGAGTTTGCAAAAGCATTTCCCAGGAGCCAGGCACACTGTAGATGATGAATTCATATAACTTTCTCCTGTCATTCTCCATCCTTTATACAAGTTACCTTCCAGTTTTTCTTACACTATGTTTCTTCATAAGGAAGGTCATAAACTGTGAGCTCACTTAGGGCAGGGGCTCTGTCTTACACGGTTTTTTGGTTTTGTTTTATAGGCTTTTAAGAAACTGGTGTGGCGCTTGTGGGTCAATGCACTAGACTGCAAAGGTGTTTGAACTGCAAGGTTGGCAATTCAAGCTCACCAGCTGCTCTTCGGAAACCCTATACAGGGTCGCTATGGGTCAGGATCAACTTGATAGCACTTAACAACAACAACAAGAAACTGTTATCTTTACTTTGTGCTCAAAAAACATGTTTAATGAAATGAAATGAATGAAAAGTTAAAGAAATGACTGCAGCAGTAAACAAGATATACGTTAATGTATTCAAGAATAAAACTTCCTTTTTTATTTCCATTATCTAAACTCCCTAAGTCAATTTGTCCTATTAAATGCTCTTGTGGCATGTATTTCAATTTTAAGCTTTTGTCGGAATGGCTCACTGATAAATTTCTACCTTCTCAATCAGCCAAAAACTCTGGGAGTAAAGCGAACAGCATCTGTTTATAATTCACAATTATATTTCTAGACTTTACCAGAATTCCTAGTACATATTGAGCACTCTATGGAGCTCTGGTAGCATAGTGGTTACAAATTGGATTGTGAACTTCAGGGTCAGCAGTTCGAAACTACCAGCCGCTCCGCAGGAGAAAGGTGAGGCTTTCTGCTCCTGTAAAGATTTCCAGCCTTGGAAACCCTGTACAGGGTCACTATGAGTCAGAACTGACTCCACGGCACATAAAAACAACAACAACAACAGTGACAACACTGCATTGTAGTACATGTTTCTTAAAAGAATGAAGGAAGAAACTGATGATCTTTGTTCACACTCAGAGATATGTTAAGATTTTAGTTTACGGAAAGGTGATCTGACCATTGTCTTACCTTGTGATTTTCTATCCGGGCCTGTAAAGCATCTTTACTTTTGGGTTGTGGTAAGTTGTCATGAGCAAGTTTTTCCTTTCCAATATTCACCAATTCCACCAGGCCTTGCCACAAAGCATCTTGCTGAATGTCAGTGATGAAAGGGTTGCTGAGTTCTAAGTACCTCGCTCTTAAGAATCCCCACATACTGTCAAGGACATCCTGAAAAGAAAGAGCAGGTAATACAAATGAGCAACAAATATAAGGGTCTTTGTTGGAAGAATAAAAACCATATGCCTTGCCATCAGAGTTCTGAGTGACAGCTTTTGGCTCAGACATACCTCTAATTTATAAACTTCTTGGAGTAAACTGTATGGCAAATAAAGGCGCTCTCCTTCATCTCTTAATTTTGCCACTCGGCTCTCAGAGTGATACAGTTCCGCTGTATGCACATCGACTTTCTAAGTGAGAGACAACACGAAACGAGTAAAACAGTTAAGTTAGAGCGGTAGACATACTCATTTAAACAAAGAATTAAGCAATACAGAAAGGAATGAAAGGAAAAGTAAAGGTCCAAACCTGCTCCCCTCCCTCCAGCTCTGTCACTCTCCCAGAGGCCCCCCAGCTCCCTGCTCCTTTCTAACACATTCTCAGCACTGAATGACACTACAGCTTACTAGCTCTCCAACAATGCTTCACATTAGTACATGTACAAGTATATCTGGTTTGTTTCAGACAGACATATAATATTCCACTTAAGGCAGTACCTAACTTTAGTAACAGTGTGCTTTTAATGAATCTTTGGACTAATCACTATTGTTTACAATCTGCCAGACGTAGATTATGTATCTATGGGTGTGTGTTTTTTTAAGTTTTTATTGTGATTTGAGTGAAAGTTTACAGGGCAGATCATCAGTTTTACATTCAACAAATCATATACTTTGTTTCATTATAATGATTATAATCCCCTCCATGTACTATACTTTGTTTCACTACAATGGTTATAATCCCTCCATGTATTATCAGTTAAACAGCAGTATTTTTCTCTATTCATTCTAGCTTTTTATTTTTTTTAAACACCACCAAAAAGCCCATTTTGCAAGTCTGCCTCCTGGCCACCAGCTCTCAGTCCCTCTCTTTCCATGAATCTAGAGTCCTCAAGCTGCCACCTCTCTCCATGTTCCCATCTCGATGCAGATTATATTTATACACACTTTTATCTTAGTGCATTTATGATTTTAATTTTTTCAGGTTAAATGAAAATTCAGCACCTAGAACAGTGCCCAAACATTGTTAAGTTCTAAATGAGAACTGCTGAATAAATGAATTGAAATTGCTACTGAATATTGGAGGGTACCTATATATGTTTAAAATTTTAATATACAGCCAAATGGCTAAATGATCTCAGATGCTGAACCAATCAACCCTCCTACCAGAGTGAGGGTCATATTTCCTAATGAGCTTTTCAGCAGTAGATACATTTTTGCCAGGTTAATAGGTGGTTACATTGTTTCTCATTTGAATACTTTACACTTCATAAAGTGCTCCTTAAGAGATGTTTTTGAACATTCACAAAAATACTCTTCATTTTTATTACTTTAACTTGGACACTGCTCAGAGGGAAGTAATGCCAGAGGCAAGCTTACATAGACCCAAGGTCAATTTGAATAACTTTGACTTCATTACCTGCAGCTGCTCATCAACACTTTGGTTGTTAATTTCATTCAAAGACTGTTGTAAAGACGTTTTATCCTTGTTAAATTGATCATATAATCGCTTTATTTCATTCTGTTTAAAAAGATAAATGCAAGAAACATTTAGATCTTCCATTACCTTTATCTTTTGTTTAATATTTGCATTGTTGGAAATTTCAATAACACACAAAAATAGAGGCAACCCATGTACCCATCATGCAGTTTCAACAACTTTGGGCTCCTGATCTTCTTTTCCTCCTTCCACTTCAGAATATTTTGACATTAAGTCCCAGAATATATCTTATAAGCCATCTCATCAGTACATGTTTCACTATGTATTTTAAAATCAAAGGTTCTTCTACCAAATCAATAATAATTTCTTCGTATTTTTAATTATTCTGTGAATATTCACATTTCTCTTAATTGCCTTTGATTGTATTTGTTATAATTGGGATCCAAGTGAGATCTTCATATTGCAATGGATTGATAGATGCCTTAAGTCTTTTTTCTATGATTATTTTTGTGTGTATGTGTGTGAAAAGAAATGGGTTTGTACAGTATCTCTATAGTTGGTGTTTTGCTGATTGTACCTCCACAATTTGGATTCTGAAGGCTTAATTAGATTCACTGATTTTACGGATAAGACTCCTTACTTCTTTGTGAGTCAAGAGTTTAATAATGGCATTTCCAAAGGTGTTCCTAGAAAGGTCAGTTGGACAAAGATTCAGATTTATACACAGAAAAGGGGAAAGAACATTTAAGCCTTATGGATGGTTTCTCCAAAGTATTTGGAGAGCATGCAGGTTTGAGTGTAGTTCCAAAGAATCACTGACACGTGTTTAATTCTCTGTTTTTAGGGGGCTGTTGTCAGGGATGCAGCCACAGTTAAAAGGTATAGTTTTAATTGGAAAATGTAAATCCTTCAGAATTGACTACAGTGCTGTATAATTTGTCTCAGATTGAAGAAGAAAAGAATAGGGAAAACGAGCTAAGAGTTAAGGAGCAGAAAAAGAAGTTAAGGGCTTTACATTTATAACAGCTGCACAGTAAAGACAATAATGAGGCTCCTAACAAGGGACGGCCTCAGATTAACATGGCCAAGAATGACAGTTTTGTAAGCTTTTACAATAATGATCTCATACAATATTTGTCCTTTTGTGATTGACTAATTTCACTTAGCATAATGTCCTCGAGGTTCATCCATATTATGGGGTGTTTTGCAGATTCATCATTATTCTTAAGGGTTGCATAGTATTCCATTGTGTGTATGCACCAAAGTTTATCTATTCTTCCACTGATGAGCCCTTAGTCTGCCTCCATTGTTTTGTTATTGTGGACAGCGCTGCGATGAACATTGGTGTGCATCTATCTACTCGTGGTCTGACTCGTATTTTTTGTGGATATATACCAAGTAGAGGGATTGCTGGGTCATAAGGTATTTGTATTTCCAACTTTCTGAGGAAGCGCCATACTGTTTTCCAGAGTGGTTGACCCGTTTTGCAGTCCCACCAGCAATGCAGGAGGGTCCCAGTCTCTCCACAGTAGACAATTTTAGTAGCTTCCTAACTAGTCTACCTACCTGAGTCTCTCCCTCTTTCTACCTGTCTTAAATTCCTCCCTCTTCCACAACCCATTTTAGACATCTGTCAGATTAAACATTAATCTACCTAAAATATAACATGGATTGCCATTTGTTTGCTCAAAAAACTTTAATGGCTCTCCCTGTCCTGGAAACTGAAATACCTGTCATCCAGTATAGCACTCATTAACTGGCTGAATCTAGTACAGAAAAGAATCATTACTTGAGCTCTTCCTAATAAATTCAAACCCAAGACTTTGGAAGTTTTACTTTCAACCATGGTTGGTCTTCAACCATAAGAAGTAGCACTAACTTAAGCTTCTCAGGAGAATCTTACTATTTCCCTAGGTAATTCTTATTTACGATTGCTACCAAGGACAGGAACTAATGGAACTGAGAGGTTATGTTGTGAAGCAGTACCCACGTAGGCTGCAAGCTCATAAATGTACCTGGTAACTGTGGTGATAGTCGAGGCCGGCTTTCAGGGACTTGCTTCGAGAGGTAGCAGAAGCCTGGGTGTGCTCCAGGCACATCTGGAGGTTATCAAAACAGTCAAGGAACAAGCTGGTGTTCTTGCCAGGAAAAGTCACAGCTTTCAAAAGCTCACCCTTCTTGTCATTCAGAGCTAAATAAAGTTTCTTCAACTCAAGAGCCAGAGCCTGTTACGTAGAGAGAGAAAGGAAGGCAGTGGATGAGCTCTGACCTCCAGAAATTTCAGTGCAAAGCTTTGAACTGGTTCTTCCTAGTTCAGTTATGGACGATGAAGCAAAACTATTTTTTTAAAAACTGAATTTTTAAAATGTGGGAGTACCAGAACAATAACTAGAAAGGGGAAAATTACAGTTTGATGCCATGCTAGACACGTAATCTCCCTTTTAGAAAATAAAGCATGTGAGTTGTATAACCACCAAACCTCTTCATCAGCAGAGCTGGACACAGCAATGTCCACTCAAAGTTGTTGGCTGACCTTGCTACTTTGAATGCGTGTTGTTCTCCACAGTTCCGGCAACTATCTACTTTGCCACATCAGGCTCCTGAACGGCCTCACTAGACAGCTTCTGAATCTCCCATTCTAGAGTTTTGACGCATAATATTTTCCATTCTGGTCTACCCACGTTTAACAAATTTGGGTCTGTTCCAATGTCACTGCAGTGGCTATGAATAAGTGAACCAAGTTGAACTGATTTAGGATCTTTGCTTCAGCTCTGCCTTGACAAGCTGGGCTGCTGTAACAGACAACACAAGGGTTTGATAGATGGTCCTTACCTCATAGTGCACTTTCTGGGCATACGTATCCCCTCTGAAAAGTGTAGGGGTTTGTAGCATCTCCCCCACACTGCTGAGGCACTGACTGAGACCCAGGAGTAATTCAAATAATTTCTTATCCAAATTTATGTATGTTTCTTCTGTCATGTTTTCCTGAATCAACAAGGGAAAACAGAAAATAAAAAATTATTAAGATGCCTTCCCTTCTGAAACCAACATTCGCACACACACATAAAGAGTTTTCAAACACTTTATGAACTAGGTAGAAGACATAAGTAAAGTTAAGAGGTTACTTCTGAGAAAAGCAAATCTAAGAAATTCAATCATCACTTGACTATTGAGTGAAACTAAAAGGTACATTAGGGAGAGGAAGAGAAAAAAAGAGAGCCATTGGGAAAAATGTGGTCCCAGATAAATCATACATTCACTCTTTCCAGCGTCCCAGCCCCGGATTAATGAAACAAGCATACTTTGAAGGCAGAAACAATGTCACAAAGAAGTGTGAGATGGTGGAACAGAAAGCACAGTGTCTTAAAGATAAGGATTGGTTGGGGTGGGTGTAGGAAGTTCGAGGTGTCATTTACGGCTGTTTGTGATGCACCCTTTGATGCACAACCCCACAGGGATGCCTGGAATTATGCAACTGTGTCCAGGTGAGTTTGGGAACCACAGATTTGATTTACACAAACTGCTAAAGCCACCTCTGATTTTTAACCCACCAAAACACCGCACTGACATTGAGGTGTTTCTGACTCAAAGAGAGCCTACATAGGGTTCCTAAGGCTGTAAATCTTTACGGGAACAGAAAGTCTCATTTTTGTACTGTGGAGCTGCAAGTGGGATTAAACTGCCAACCTTGTGGTTAGCAGTCCCATTCTTACAGCACCACACTGTAAACCAGACGATTTTTTATGTATGCATTATCATCTGGGAAATCTGTAAGATTAACCTGGGATTTATTATAACATAGATTTTGATTCGTTCAGTATATGTGGCATAGAAATACATATTCTCAGCCGAAGTCAAACCAGAACAAGCCCATTCCATTCAAAGCTCTTCTTATAACTGGTCAGGAATTTTTAACACAGAATCACCTTGAATTCCTGCCCACTCATAAACAGGGTTTGAACTAGTTCATTCTGGTTTGACCCCTCCTATTGAGACTATGCATTTCTACCACAGACATACTGAATGAAGACTATATATAAGAAAAACCTGAGAATCTTGTTAAAATGTAGATTCTGATTCAGTATATCTGAGATGGAAAGGCAAATTCTCAGCAGGGGAATGTATCAGATGAACTGGTTGAAGCCCTGGGTCTAAGAAGTTTGAAGTCCTGGTATGGTGCTGTAGGAGCAGCAATGGACTGCTCACCATAAGGTTAACAGTTCAAACCCACCAGCTGTTCCTTAGAAACCCTATACAGGGTAGTTATGAATCAGAATTGACTCGATGGCACATAACAACAACAACACTATTTGGGCTCTGTTTGTTACATTACCCAGGACACTGTCTAAACATTAAGCCTACTAAAGGCCGTAAATCACGTGGAATGTCTGCTTATATTCCTTTCCCAACACTGTTTTCTCACTCTTTCAATTGCAGATCATGAATATAGACATTACTAATCAATCAAGAGCCTCTCCTCTGTTAATCCCAGACTCAAAATCCTTTTCTATAAAATTCTTTAGGCAGCCGCTATGAAACGGATCAGAATTGGTAGGTAAGATAAATTCTATTTACAATTCTAGGACTCATTCGATTATTTGTTCATTGAATAAAATTTACAATGACAATATAACTATTATTTCTTATGTACTGCATCAAGAGAGATATATAACGTGCAAATTCTACCTGTGTCTGGAGATTATTTGCTTCTTGACGCAAATCTTCAAGTTGAGTGGTATAGGTTTGCAATTCTTCAGTTGTTGGGTACCTAAAGTTATACATGCCCACGCTGGGTAGAATACTCATATTTGTGGTAACCTATTTGATAAAGGGAAAGTGGAGATCTTGATGATGTTAATGAAAACAGCAAAAATGCCTTATCTCTTATCTCTGAGACACCTTCTTATCAAAGATTTTTGACTATCTTACCATTTGTGAGAGAAAATAATTAAACCTCAAACATTTTGACTGATTTTTAAGTCATGACAGGCTTTAGTTAGACACTCAATGGTCCTTTTACATACTAAAATGAGGGAAAAACCAACCATATTTTGAGAAATAAAGGAAAACACAGTTATCTCCTCATTTACTACACCTCCTGGTGTAGCCAGCTCTTAAAATAGAATACAAATCACCTCCGGAGATGGATATGCATCTTGATTTGTCATTGAAAAACTGAGTATTGGAAATGAGCTATGATTTCAGAGGAAGAATGACTCAGAGTTAATTTATTCTTTAAATTGGAAAACTGACATATAAAAAGAAACAGGGTGGGATGGTGGATGTATCTTTTTTGGGGGAAAGAATGGGAATGGAACTTGTGATACACTGCTCTTTGAAAGAGAATGACATGCGTATTATCACAAATATAAGAAGAAACCAAGACTAAAGTCTTCGCAAGAGTTTGCTTCAAGTTTAGTTGGCCAAATAAGGTTCTCAGCATTAAAGATGAGAGAACTGAACAGTTCTACCAGATGGCGAATTGGGAAATCATTGGTCACCTTTTCCCAGGCTATTAGATGGAATGTCGCCAACTAATAGCCTGATTGAGGTGGGGTGAGCAAAAGAACTGGCTGAAAACAACAGTGATATTCAGGTCTCTGTTTGGATAAAAAATCCAGCAGTAGCTGACACAGTGGTTCAGGCTAAATAAACGCTGTCTTGGCAGTACTGGTGTGAACCCCTGAGGGATAGGTGCCACTAACGAGTCCTTTCCTCTTCTAACTTTCTCAAAATCCCAGGATATTTCTTATGTTCAAGTCTTTGCACTTGTCGTCTTCTCTGCCTGAATTCCCATTACCACCCTTGTCAATCTCCTGCCACCACTTGATTTTCTCTGCTAAACTTGGAACCTCCTGGGAGAAAGGATCAGATTCACTGCTTCAACTTTGAGATCTGGCACAGCAGATTCCAAAGAGTCTTTTGATAAATGAATGATGCTTAAATTAGTATAGCACTGTATAGTTTTAAAACAGTGTTCTTATATTTAAGCTCCATTCCTTTATTCATTCAACAAATGCAACTGAGATTCTATGATGTGCCAGGCACTGTGCTCGGCACTGAACCAAGCACAGACAAATAAACAGGTTCAGAGCAATGAACAAAGAGCCGAAGAGGCTCAGAGAAGAGGCAGCTCACACAGATTTCCAGTAAGATGAACTAGAGTCCCTTGGTTCTATAACCTTTCATATTTGCTCCCTGAAAATAAACTTCTATATAATACAGAACACACATCTTTTTCAATGAGTGCATGTTAGATTTTCAAAGATAAGTATGTTTATTTATACTATGAGCACACACACACTAACCTGAGGCTCCACAAGCTGAGGTGAAGGAAGCCGTATTTTTGAGGATAATTCATGTTGTAAATATTGCCATTTATCTCCACTTTGGCCCTGGGCTGTCAAGACCACATCTGGAGCACCATCTTTGGAGCTAGATGCCTTATTGCTTTTGACAAAAAGCAAAGGGTAAAGAAAATAATATAGCTTTGCATTACTGTTAGACAACACTTTAAAAATAATTTTAAATGAGTAATTTCAAATTAATTCTAAATGAATATTATCACAACCAAAAATGCTACGGAATGGCCAACTACTTAAAAATGGTTTACCTCAAAGATGAGTCCTGAGTTGGATCTTTATGTTCTTGGGAACACTGAGGCAACATTTTTGTTACATTAAATTCTATGAATTTGATTAAATCTTTCTGCTCCACTGGTTTTAACTCCAGGACCTATACAATAAGATTCAAATGATCCAATCAGTTCTTCTTTTCTGTAAACATAGTTTCAGTACAAACATATGTCTCTGTTGAGATCATCTGATTTCAAACCTCTTCCTAAATGCTTAGATACGATTTCTCTTTCTTCCTTGCTTATTCTTATCTCGTGTTACTCAAAAACCTATTTAAAAGCTAAAGAGAAATACTGTTAACTGATGGTACATGGAGGGGATTATAATCATTGTAAGGAAACAAGGTGTATGATTTGTTGAATGTAAAACAGATGATCTGCCCTGAAAAAAACCTATTTAAAACATTCACTAAATGACCAAGTGTTACTTAAAATATATTGCACGTACTGAAAAACACCACCAAAAGTATACTGACATATTTTGAAACAATAAGCACAATGTACCAATAAACAAATGAGATGGAACAGTACAAGGCTCTTTGGATCAGAATTCAGTCATTGGTGTTGTCATGGGCTTTTATTACTTCTAATAATCAGGATAATGACAAATGGAGTGTGGGTTTATCAAGAGCTGAGTTCTCCAAAAAGCCTCCCATTCAAGGGTGAGATGTTTTGGATCACAACCATGCAAGCCTCTCCTGAGCTACTGATGAGAGAACAAAAGGGGGACTTGGATCTGGGCTTATCTGGACTTGGATCTGGTCGGATAGGTGCTGGATTGCACGGGAAAGGGAAAAGATGGAACAGAAAGGCACCATCGCTCCCCTGGTTTGGCCAATTGTCTTTTGTTTAGGTGCAAACCTGCATAACCAGAAAGAATATTTTTTCCTTCTCTAACTACAAGCTTGATTCTGTACAATTAAGTAGTCATGGAGACAGTGGAAATTACTGTGAGCCCAAAACAGGGAGGAAGCTTCCTTCAACACGGAAAAGGGGCTGGGTGAGAAAGAGATCCAGTTCCCAGCCTTCCTATGAGAGAATGCTGTGAGCCTAAAGCCTAAGGCCTCAGCTTAGGTGACCTGGGTGAGAACTGAAAAGGCAGACCACCTTCCCAGCCATAATGTAAGCAGATTTGTAGACAGAAAGATCAAGTTCATCCTAAAGATATTTACTCTGTTTGATATAAGATGCAAATGAATAAAGGAGCAAAGTTAGCACAGCTCAACTGCAGAAGATGACAGTAAAGTAGGGACTGCAACAAACATTCAGAATTCAGAGTCATTGCACACACCACACATGCACACATACACTTCCCAACCAGCCACGGAAGCAAACGCTCCAATGGTTGTTTAATATTCAGTTCAAAGCAAGCTTCCATATAGAAAGCTTTATTCATATCCTTCAGACTATTAGGGACTGAAATTACCTGTTGCTGCTGGAAATCTTTTTGTCTACTAAATTGTGGCCTTTCAGTTACAATAGCTTCGAATGCGGAGAGGTTATCTGGCTGGAGAACTTTTTTATGTTCTGAAGGTTTCTTTACAATGGTAGAATTCTGCAAAAAAAAAAAAAAAAAAAAAAAAGACCCTATTTTATTTCAATTCTAATAACAGAAAAAAATTTATGTGAAGTAAATGACAGCATTTTGTCATTTATTATAATTATATACTATGATTTAATATGCTTTTTTCCATAACTTCAAAAAATGTGCTACAGTTGATTTAGTAGTTATACTTCCCTTGACCAATTTTATCCAAAGAATTACTAAACGCCAGGAAATTTATTGTCTATTTTTAAAGAATTAAGTTAAAAAAGAAAAATAAAAGGTATGCTGACAGTGTTAAATTTCTCCAATGTCTAAAATGTAAGTTGATCTTTTGAAGAAAAGAGAGAACACATTAGGATGAAAGGTGAGCCACATGGCCTGCGCATGTCCAACAAATCCTATTCCTATGAGCACGTTGTTGTTAAGTGCCGTCGAGTCGATTCTGATTCATAGTGACCCTATATAGGGTTTCCAAGGAGTGGCTGGTGAATTTGAGCCACCAACCTTGTGGTTCAACCCGACCTCTCAGTCCACTGCTTATCCAACAGCACCACACCACGACTCCTCTATGATATAGAACCATGCATACGTATGAATGCAAATCTTACACACTAAGATCCTATCATAAGATGCAAATTTGGATTGATAAATGAGAATGCTTTTAAACAACACAAGAGCACATATACTATGTAATATATGTAATATGTAGTATACTATGTAATACTGTCATCAGTATATATAAATATTTGTAAATGAGTAACAAAGACCTTGGAACAGGTTTTGTGTTTGTGATGTCAAATTTTCATCTTATCTATAAACACTTCATTATCCAATCAGTTGGAGGGTCACATAGTTCCTTTAGAATAAATCCTTCTTTTATAAAGTAGGCTTACACCAGACCACAATATCAGTTGTTGTTGTTAGGTGCCATAGAGTCGGTACCGACTCATAGCGACCCTATATACAACAGACCAAAACACTGTCCAGTCTTGGGCCAACATCACAATACCAGCAGATACATTCACCACAATCAAACCAACTCAAGTCAAACCTACAAAAACTGCACAGAAAATAAAATCAATAGCTAAAGAGCCAGTGTAGCCATTTCTTACAGTCTTCAGGCCACAAGTCTTTCCCACTCAGTGTAGCTTCTCTGTATTTGGTTCTCCACTTTCATTCAGAGTTCTTTTCTGATGTGTCTACCATATGTGTATATTGTTGCTGTTGTGTGCTATTACGTAGTTTAGGCTCCTAGCGACTCCATGGGAAAGAGCAGGGTTTTCAGGCTGTAGTCTTTATGAAAGCAGATCCCCAGGTCTTTTTCCCAGGGAGCCACTGGGTGGGTTCAAATTACTGACCTTTTGGTTAGCATCCCAGTGCTTAGCCGCTGTGCCACCAGGGCTCATTACCATATGTATATATTGACACACAGACATACAAAGCCATATTTTACCTGATCCTCATTGTATTTCTCCTGAAGCATCATCTGGACTTTTTCCAAATTGCATTTCACAGTCTTTAGTTTCAAGGAGAGGGCTTCAGCTTCTTGTTGAGTGGCTCCTCTGTCCCCCAGGCCCTGGTCTTTGCAGCTCTCCAACAGAGAAGCTACTTTGTGCTCGATCTCTGTTAGCATAGTCTAGGAAATTAAGTCATTTAGTTACTCCTCAATGTAAGTTGATTCCCTCTTTATGTAAGTGTATAAGAAAGCCTCAGACATTGGACTGTGAATAACCTTGGGGAAAACAAATAAACAAATTTCCATGTAATTTCTATGCTTTTATAGCAAGGGTTCACTTTAACCAATTTTCTGTTGTAGATGTCACCCTATAATAAACTTAAGTGATTCTATAATCTCCTGAGGAAACACAGCAGAAACATCCGGCAGAGCATACGTGTGGTTGTCAGGTCAATTCCAACTCACAGAGCCACTCCAGGACAGAGTAAAACTGTCCCAAGGGGTTCCGAAGGCTGGAATCTTAATGAAAGCACATTGCCATAGCTACCTTCCATGGAGCAGCTGCTGGGTTTGTACCACTAATTTTTCAGTTAGCAGCTTGGCCACTGCACCACCAGGACTCCTTCCAACATAGCACAGTGACCCTGCACAGGGTTTCCGAGCCTGCAAATCTTTACGGGAGCAGAAAGCCTCATCTTTCTCCCATGGAACAGCTGGTAGTTTCAAACTGCCAACCTTGAGGTTAGCAGCCCGATTCGTAACCACTGTGCTACCAGAGCTCCTTTCCAACATCGCATAGTAGTTAAGAATACACATGTTAGAACTAGATTATCTGGGTTCATATCCCAGCTCTGTCATATAATTTGGGGCATGTGGCCTCTCATCATCTGCAAAATGGGGATAATAGAATTTATCTCCAAGGGTCATTGTAAAGAGTTGATGAGCTAATCCATGTGCTCTGACCAGTCTATGCTTAAAAACTATTGAGTAGGAGGCGGGGCTTGATGGCAGATAGAGTAGAGGTACAGTGAAGATCTCTGTCAGCGATAACACAGAATACCAGGCAAACTGGGTTTAGAGGGGAGCTCCAAACCTCTGAACCACATATGGAGGAATATTTAAAATGTTTGAAGTCTTATAGCTAGTAGAACTTATAATGGAAACAAAAAATCCTGTACTTTTGAATCTGCTGGGCTCAGTGGCTGGGAGTTGACAACTTGGGTGAGACCAAATGGCAAGACCAAGCAGGAGAGCAAGCAGACCCGCCATGGACTAATGCCTGCAGGAACCTCAGAGACAAAGGTGAACAATATTCTTTGTTTGGTTTGGTTTTGTTCTGATTTTTTTTTTGATATCTGTTCATTGGCCTCTCACTGTCTGCACACCTCCATTCTGGTGACTAGAGGGGGTGCCTGAGCGAATGAACACCTCCACCCCCACCACTGGAGGGTTCTTCTACCGGTGTGCGCACAGACCCTCTCAGCGCTTAAAGGGCCAGTCCCCACTTAAAACCATCAACAGTGCAAAATGGCCACAGCCGGCCCTGAACTGTTTATTAATAGAGAAAAGGTCAGAACAGGGGGCATGAAGAGGGAGAGAGTCTGAAAAAAAAACAGGCCGAAAAGTAACTCATAACAACCAACAGTGGCATCTTGAAATTTGTCAGGTGGCCTTGAAGGCAAGAAGCTGAAAGAGGATATCAAAATCATAATTATATTAGGCTACACATGTTTGTTTTTTTTCCCTTCTCTCTCTCCACTCTCTTTTCTGAGATTATAGACTACAGTACCCAATCTGTTTTTTT